TATTGTAAGCATGAGAACTTTTTAATCAAAATATCTGTTTATCAACCCAAAAAAAATCATTAAGTTATCTCAAAATTTTTGAATAAATCCTTTCAAAAATGTGCAAAATATGATCATTGATCAGACTATATTTGTAATTTATCATTGCATTCATATTTTTAGATTATATTATTATTTATATTATACAGGGTGAGTCAAAAAAATTAATGAATCGATCAATTTTATAAAATACGATGCTTCTGCATACTGTGTATGACTCCGTGCTGCATTTTCACCTTAGACATCCAGATTTTTGGGAGAAAAAAAAAATTGTATAACATTTTGCAATTTAACTTTGAAATTGTAAAACCGAATGCTCTCAAAACTTGCAACTGTTTTAAGGTTATCGTGGTCCTGGTAAATCGTTAATCAAAATTTATTCGTTTATACCCTCCCAAAAAATGGATGATTCATCCCAAATTTTTCTGAATAAATTCTATTTCAAATCTACAAAATAATTTATGACTCTATACTTGTGGTTTACCAAGCGATGCATAGGTTTTAGAATGACTTATACAGGAACACTCAAAAAAATGAATGGGTGACGAAACTTATTATATTGATAAAGTTAAGAACCACTCACTCCATTTTCCCGAAAATTTGTCAACACAGTACTGCTGTGCAGACTGACGTTATCATAAAATTTTGTATTGAAAAAACTCACTTGAAACAAACGTGTAGCACGTTTCTTTAAGTTTATTTTAAAATTACATACATATCTTTATTTTAAATTTAAGGATTATTATAAAAAATTTAATTTGCAAAATCAAATAATTTTCGAGGGAAGTTCTGTCGAAATAACTCTCGACCAATTTTTATTGTTAATTTGGTCACTAATCCGATGTATTCTGTGTTGCATGGTTTGGTCATTTTTATTAAAAAAAAATATATTTAAGCTATGGTAATTTTATTGTTCTTCCAGGTTCAGTAATTATAACCAGTAGAAAACGTGACAGAAACCAAAAAAGTTCAAACACTTGGCAAATGTGAATTAAACATTTTAATTTTTGACATTTCACGTTGGTCCACTATTGACCCTTTTCCTGTAAGATCGTAAAACTTCCATAGTGACTTTCCGTGCGCACGCATGTTCAAAACCACGTATCCGGCACTCCGGCAGCAGAGCAAAGGCCTGTGACAACCAGAGATATGTAAAAGACAGATGCGGTTATAGCTTTCCCAATCTAGGGCCAACATCTATGATGTAAGAGTAGCAATGCTTTGTGTCGCCTATCCTTTTCTATATCAGCACCAGTACTATGGATTGCCAAGTGTAGGCTACATCCATCACTCTCTAAAAGGTGGTTATCTTGTTATTGGCCCGTTCTGATGGCGGCAATTATAAATATTCATAACCACCCACAGTCTGATTGGTCTGACAGGGACCGGCACAAACACAAGAACGGCATCAACGACAAACGTTGCGCCAACTGATTGGTTGCGCCGTACAGAGCGAGACCTTCAGATATCGGGTTACCATTGTACGTGCTAGAGAAAAAGAGGGAGATATAAACGTACACTGACATCTTGGGCCTTAACGTATGTCCACGAGAACATTAAATATCTGTATCTAGTCTTTTACATATAAGGAATTCACGTTCGGTAGATGTAACTAGATTTGGTAACTTTTTTTTTTAAGCTGTGTAACTGCGGACATAATTGTTCTAGTGTATAATGTATAACGGGAACGTCAGAAAGTAGGTATCAAAAATGTGACATGTAAGTAAGTAAATGTCAAACATCGAAAATGTGATGGTTTTGTGGTAATCTGCTGAATCTATTTTTGAACCAAGGAGAAAATCACATCCCTCTCAAAGCCCAAAGAGGAACCCGCATGTAAAATTGTGAATCTTTTCCCTTCACTAGTTTTTTTAGGAGGGCAAGATTTGATGTCATCATCATGGATCCACAATTTTACCATAGATCCGTTTTGGTATATCCATGTCTTATTCAAGAAAATGAAAAATAAATCTTCACCACTATCACGCAATTGGACATACCCCCCTAGTAATTTGATTCTGGTAGCGTGGTAGCTATAACGTGTTTAAAATGTGAAAAACTTTGCCTTCGGAAACCTAAATTTATACGTGTATTACGTACAATTATTCTCAAAGCCGAGTGTTTTCCCTCTTACAAAACAATAACGATTATAATATAAAACTTAAAAACCAATTGTAGAGCGGAACCAACAAAGTATGTGGGTGTATGTATATAAATCTGCGCAGTCGTCTTTCTGATTCTGATTATAAAATTAACGGCACCGGCGCCATTGTATTGGTATTATTTTAAAATTCGAAAAGCACTCGACAACACCAGCGAACTTTACGGAAAATATTTCTGCCACCAGTTTAACTGTTTCCGTTTTACCCAAGCGTTGTCCCTTTTCTCTGCAATTTTTTGATAACCACGAAATATTTCTTGTCTCTTTTCCTTTAAAATGGGCTTTCTTGTGACTACTTTTGTGAAAATTGTTTCCATGCTGTATTTAAGGATTTTCTTGAAACGAAGCGTGTTAAAATTAGAAAAACTTTGTTTTTTCCACACAAGTCAGATTTGACATTTGAATTAGAAAATTAGACAGTTGATACCAATCTTTAGTTTCTAGTGATCTAAAGATTGCAACTTAACCACAGAAAAATTTCTGTCAGCTACTTCTACCGAACGTGAATGCTTATTATCTCTGGTGACAACAAACCGTTTTGACAGAATGCAACCAGCTACACATGCGTAATCTATCGCTCATTGGTTAATTTTAACTTGGCGCTCCAAAAATCTGACTTCGCCTGCGCGATGTTGTCTCACTCTGTATCATTGGAATTTATATAATGTCTACTCACTTTGCTTACAGGAAAAGGGTCAATAATACTAATAAACCATTTATTAATAATCTCTTCACCGAAACCCTGTATTTTAAATACCATAATTTTCTGCATTGTAGCCTTCAGTACTTATATCCTTCTCCCCTCTCCTCAATGAGGGTTTAAGGCCAGTCGCTACGTTTTCTGCATGAAATTTTCGGTACATTTTCAGAATGTAATATCTCCATTATTAACAGACTTATGGTTGTGAAATTTTAAATATATACCGTCCATAACTTTCTTTATATAACGCAAGGGTAGTTTTGTTAAAAACAGTTTGTGATCATACTTTTTTTTTTAATTTTAGTAAAATTTCTGCATAAAGTATTTTTAAAAATCAATATCTCAGTTATTTAAGGAAATTTCGGAACACAGTTTTCAACACTGTTTTCAGCTTATAAAACTCCAGAAATCATACCAGATATATTGTCGACTGTTTTTGTTAGAAACGACACATAGTAAAAAAAGGGCCATTTATGACCCTTTCCGTACTACATCGGAAGCGGTCGGTTGTCAACAAAGGATCAGAGGCGGTGCATTTTGGTTACGAATGGGTTCACATGTAAACAGGAGGCGGGTGGGCGGGGCTATTGCTTGCTTATAATACTGCACGAAAAAGTTAAACTTAGCCCCGCCCACCCACCCGTTCCCTCATTTTTCTTCTAAATTAAGAAATAAATCTTAAAGTAACTAGTATAACAAAAAAATTACGGTTAGCTTTTTCATTTTTAACAGCCTCATTCTCATTCTACATTCTAGTAATTGCTAAGATAAGACTTATTTCGACAAATGGCATCCTCTGGAAAAAGAGGGGGCGGGTGGGAGGGCCTAGTAACTGCTAAGATAAGACTGATTTTGGCAAATGAGATACATCCTAAGAAAAGAGAGGGCGGGTGGGTGGCGCTAGTAATTACTAAGATAAGTCTTATTTCGGCAAATGACATATCCTCTGGGAAAATAGGGGGCGGGTGGGCGGGCCTAGTATTTGTTAAAATAAAACTGATTTTGCGCCCCTGTTAATCTCTATCAATTTTCTGATGTCTATAAACGTAGAATTTTTCTAGAATTTTTCACTTGAATGGAGAACTGTTCTGAAAAATTACATAAAAAAATCTCTAAGATTCTTTCAAATTCTAAAAAATAAAGGCAAGGAATCCAAGAGATAGTTTACAATATTTTCGTAATCAAAGCTCTAGAACACCTCAAATAGTAAAATAATTTGGCCTTTACCCATTCATGATCCTATCAACATGGATTAAATATATATGTATTTAATCAATGACTAACTTGCTACATGTTAATTTTTGTATCGTATGTCAACCCTCTCGACAAGCGCTTTCGAGCACGCCACTGGAACGACTAGTTTCTGGAAGAGTTGGAAAAGCCATTTATGATTTCAGTCGCTAGCGCGGTATCATGCGATTTTTCAAAGTATCTTCCCTCCTCTTATTCTACCTCCATGTGCTAAACGTTTAATTTTACTAGATCTTCAGTTCCAACAAATAAAGTCGAAAATATATCTGGTACGATTTCTAAAGTTTTGTAAGCTAAAAACAGTGGTGAAAACCGCGTTCCGAAATTTCCGTAAATAACTGAAATATTGAATTTTTTAAATCCGCGAGGGAAAATTTTCAACAAAAAACAAACTGTTTAAAAAAGACTGCCCTCGCATATTATACAGTGAAAGTTGTGGACAAGTTATATTTAAAATTTGATAACAACCAGTGTGTTAATAATGGAGATCTTATATTCTGGAAATATATTGACAACACCATATGAGCCAAACGTAGCCACTCACCTTAAGAGTATATGTATAACAGAAAAGATTTCAAACTATAATTCTGGTTTGTTTTGTGCATCTAAAAGTTTGGGAACTTCCAAAAAATTTTAAGAAAATTTAGTATATTCCAAAATTGCCAAAAATTATCAACTACTAAAAAGTTGCTTACAAAAAATTTTGTCTAAAAGTTTACAAGATTTTTGCCCATGTGCCATGTGAAACCCAGAAATGGCGAGGCTTGTAAGCCGCCTGTGGCGCCATCTACTCCTCCACGTTACAAAAAAACGCGCACCTTAAGGACTTTTGGTTCCTCTATGTTGGCAACAGAAATTTTGCTACGCCATTTTTTTGGACAAGCCGACTCTTCAATTTGCCGGTCATTATAAAGGTTATTGGATGGTGTGTTTTAGTGTTATTTTTATAAAAAAAATCTATCCAGACCGTGATCTTTACATGTAACAGATCGTATGAAGTGAGTATAAACATTCTGTCAAATAAATTCAGTTTTCAAATAGGCCACTACAAGAATTTCATACACTCGCAAAAACTAAAAAACAGTTACGTCGTGTTTTGAATTATGAGTCTTTGACCCACAAACCACTTCCAACGTGGGCACTACATTTTTGTTGCTGAGAAAACATCAGTTTGGTGCGTTGAATATAAAGTGGGGTTATGTTGATGTTTGCAGCTATGGCAGATAATGAAGATCTAGGATTAGGTCCAGAGGATCACTTAGATTCGTTAGATGAAGCAAATGGTATGCACGAGGACGCTCTTTTGAATGACACAGATTTAGACGGCGCCGGAGGAGACGATCCGGAGCTTGAAGCAATCAAAGCGCGTGTACGTGAAATGGAGGAAGAAGCAGAGAAGTTGAAACAACTTCAAAGTGAAGTCGATAAACAAATGAACATGGGGAGTCCTCCAGGACTGAGTAAGTGATTTTGAACACCACTTTAATTGTTTTTTAACACTTGTCTGTAAATGTAGCCAGTCCGTTGAACATGTCGCTTGAAGAAAAAATGGAGGTCGATAATCGCAGCATTTACGTTGGAAACGTAGATTACGGTGCGACGGCTGAAGAATTAGAACAACACTTCCATGGTTGTGGTTCAATCAATCGTGTTACTATTCTGTGCAACAAATATGACGGACATCCAAAAGGTTTCGCTTACATCGAGTTTGGAGACAGGGACTCTGTGCAGACTGCAATGGCAATGGATGAATCTTTGTTTAGAGGAAGACAAATTAAAGTGAGATTTTAGTTGGGGGGATGTAACACAAGATCACACTCCTGAGATATCAATAGATCGGTTTGCGTTTTAGTGAGTCCGTGATTATCAAATTTTTTCATAGGTAATGCCCAAGAGGACCAACAGGCCAGGGTTGTCCACTACAAATCGGCCGCCGAGGGGTAGAGGAGCCTTCCGAGGAGCACGTGGCGTTGGACGAGGGTATTACGCTGGATACAGGCCCATGCGTAGGCCAAGGTAAAGTAATTTTTTATGAAACAAAAAACATGAAACAATATTTACTATTATATTATTTTTATTTTCCAGTATTGTTTCTGTTTTATTTTTTTTATTAATTGGCGAAGTGTCTTAATGAACTGATGTCTACATTTTTAGGAGTTACAGACGAGGTGGATATTTTTCACCATACTAACGGGCCTGGTAAATATAAGGAACATCATTATTACATTTTTGTTTAAGTAACACCTCTCATTATTCTATCACACTATTTTGGATAAAGAAAAAAATAATCACAAAAGAAACGAGGAAAAAAAAAGAAGTGACTTGAAAAAAAAAACTGTAAATTTTTAAACACAAAAGCTATTTAATTTCGTCATAACTTTAGATTCTAAGCTAATGTGCATGGATTTTCTGGAGTGTGTGTGGAAATTTCGTGTGAATGTGTGTAAATCCATTCGAGCAAAATTATTATTTGAAAACAAAAGAGAAAGTCATAGAAATAATACTTATGATTTTCTCTAAGTAGTAATTTGTTATTTGTAATGACTTATATGACAAACATTTTTCTTTTGTTAGTGTTATATATTTTTTTCTACATGATCTTAATGTTGCAACATTACAGGTACCATCAGCCTGTTTTTTCAGGAGTTCCATTTTTTTAAAAGCTAGATTAGAAAATAACAAAAATGTAAAAAAGTTCATGTACATGTAAAAATGAATAATAAATTGGTGAAACATAATAAACACAAAATTGTTGGAGTTGACAAAATCACAATTACATACTAATTTGGTTGTTAAACTTTTGGAATCTATTCCAAAAAGCTTGAAGTTTCTGAATCAGACAAATTGTCTGAAAGATAATGTCAGGTTTGTTTAGTCTTCTGCTTAATGGCGATGACGTAACGTTGAGCCACATACAGTGGAGGACTATAGCCTTCTGGATATGTTGGATCTTCAAACAAAATTTCATACTCATCTGTATGAGTAGCTGGTGGCTTATTCACTATTCCTTTATAGAAGCAACTTGTTGTGGGATACAGAGCCATGACTAAAAAAATTGACTTGCCAATGCACTAACTACGTAATAAATCAATTTACCAACTGTCCCTTGCGGAAACAGAGCAGAAGGATCAGTTTCCGGATTCGCTCTCATCAAAGGCAACGGCACGACTCCTCTCTTGCTCAAAGTATGTCTCCCTTTTTGATTCTGCTCTGCTAAGATATCATCCACTTCATACTTATTAGTTGCATGGTTGTAACTAAAAACTTCCGCCAAGATCCAATTCTCCCCATCCCCGTCTGGAATTTTCACCAACGCAGCCACCATATCGCCGACTTTTGCCACATAACCGGAGTCGGCGGGAATGGCACCACAAAGAGGGGGTGGTTTTTCATCAATTTTACCAACAAAAAGAGGCAACGTCTGCGCTGAACTTAACAACATCTTCATCCAAGTTCCTCGACGGATTGATTCTTTATTGCCGGCATTTCTTGCCTGAAAATATAAGTTAGAAGAGCTAAAACTCGATCAGGCGTATACAACCTGAATTCGCCGCTCATTTTTGATGTTGCGTATTTCTGCAATTTTTTGCAACGCTTGTCGCAGCAGCTCTTCCTCTTGTTCTGAGTGGGAAATCGATGTTTTGTATAAACTTTTGAGCTTCACCTGATTCCATTGGGGAAAATGTTACTTATTAAAACACCACATGCATAAAACCAAAATGAGGTTTACAAAATATGGTTTTTCGACGTTTAATAATATCTGAAGAATGAAGAAATAGGTCTCCCGTTTCTGTCTTTGGCGATTTTGTGAGACAGATAAACTCCAAAACTACTGAGCTGATTGTTATGAAATTTTATATGTATTTTAGGAGCGTAGTGTAGATGGTAAAACGGTTACCAATTGATCGTCTCTACCAACAATTTGATGATGTTATCTCCGAATTCTGCATAGTAAATACTATCTAATAACAACTTATAGGAAATATCATAAATAATAAAATTCGGAAAATCAACGTTTATAACTCAGACTGGATTTATTGATTGCACTCCAGGGACGAAAGAAGTTGTGTCTAAAACTTTCTACCACTTTTTTTGACATGGAAAATGTAACACTATGCATAACTGTGACTATTCGTCAAGTTTGAGATCTTCGAAAATTTATATGTATTTGATACGAGTTATGGAAAAAAAAAATTAAAACCTCAGGCGCAGGTACAATCAATACTTTCAAACATTGAAATTTGGATCTTAAATTGGGGCAAATTTATACAAATTATAAAATGACAATTTTTCGGAACTCGATTGATCCTATGCTTTTACAATATTTTACACTGACCCATTTATTAAAATTTTATCTTAATTGGTATTAGCAATATATTGTTTCAATAATAAAAATATATACATACCTATTATAGATTTATTAATGTTAGAGTAATTGTTTAAAAACTAATAAAACGAGTATTGTGCAGTGACGTCGTTCTTTCAGCAATAATAATAGATGGGTTACTTGGCAATGTAAAAGTAACTCTAACTCTGGCAGGATAAACAAAATAAATAAATAGGTAATCAAAAATGACCGTCATACGTCACTGTCGCATATTTTTTATAATTTTGTGTGTACTCACAATTTTAAGTGTAAGATACAAAAACGTTTTAAATTCCTTTTGTCATTTCTTTGCGTTTTTAGGTGATACAAACACAAGCAGATAATCCAGTTGTGAATAATACTGTCAATTCTATAAACATCAATGGCACAAACACCAATGGTATAAACAAGTACGAATTAGAGGTAGAAAACGAGGTCTGTACCATGACTCCAATCTATTGTTCCCTTTTTGGAAAACATTTTCAAATATTTTACAATCTGTCAAATTTCCCTTTTTTAGAAACCAGGCCACGAAAAACATTCGAGAGTTCGAAGGGACACAGACAAAATCCGTGTAATACCTCCCAGTTACTGTTTCTTTTTTGGGAAATGTTACGATATATTTTGCGAATGTCATAAAATGAAGATATGATAAAATGACTTAAACTCTTACCTGATAATGTTGGCTTGCTTTTTCATCTTGTCCATTTTGAAATTTAATTATGTTACCTATACCCTGTTCGCTCTGTTGGCGTTTTTTTTCTATATCGTGCACCATTTGATAGAGCGATTTTAGATGCTCTTGGACTTTCTGTGCAGCAATTGTGTCAGCGCTAAACGGCATTATACAGGATGTGAACTAATTTTACTGACAACTCTGGGAATGACGAAAGTGTTGGTCTATGAGGATTGCTTGGTACCACGATACTACGACTAACGTCAATAAAAGCTGGAATGAATGGGTTAATAGAACTAAAAACATATTCTAATTAACACTTATTACTGTTCTACAAACTGTCCTAGTGGAAAGATTTATTTGAATCAAATTCAAGAACATCAGCCTGATGTGGTCGTTATTATTGCCAAAGATCTTGCCGTCGTATTATGTCTACAATTTGTACTGAATAAATTGAATTCATAAATTTTTATGGTGCACAGAACAGAGATTATAAGGGTGTTTTTGTGCACGATTTAATATAGCTAATACGCTGATTCAAAGAGGTTATGTATTTTGTTATTGATTTTTTTATTCGCCATATTGTACCTACACTGACTATGATCAATTAATAATTAAAGGATTAAATTATCTACTGTGCAAATGTGTGCAAATGTGCAACCACTAACCACCTTGGGAGGAAAAGTACTCCCATAAACCTATGAAAAATAGACGACACAAGCACGCAAGGGTCACGCTTAAAATAAAAACATGGCCACAGACTAAAAAATTATATGTGGGTGAGCTATTCTTCTCAGTTATAATATAACAAGTGATATGATTATTATCGATAATATTTCACGAGCCATATCTTCGATTACACTGGTCAACAAAATTCAATTTTTTCTCTCTAACTTTGACATAATTGTAATGTTTTCGTTTAATTTGTCTCTGTGTTTGTAACAAAGGGCATAAACCTTACAACTTAGCTCAATTAAAAATAAAAATGCATATTTGATGTTAAAAACAAAAAAGCAGGTAAAACAATTTAATTTTTGTATCTTTAACGGCAAAAAGTGATGTATTAACAAAAGAACAACCATAATTAAGAAAAAAACAACGATTGTAGTTTAAAAAAAGAAAAAAACAAAAGAAACAGCTAAGACCGACGTTTTTTCGGTTGCCTCCTATGGGTTTCATTGGAGATCTCTCGCTTGATGGTCCCGCCGTATTTTGCGAGCATTTAGGGGTTCCATCGATCTTGGTAACGTTTTTATATCCACAAAATGCCCAGATGGAAACGTTCTCTATGTCCGTCACTCACGTCGTCATAATTTTTGGGGAAAAAATCAAGATCCGAATACATAAAATGCACTTTTAAGAATATGTTAATTTAAAATTTTTTATATGATGATAACATGTTTTCTACTTACTAAACGTAGTTTTCTTATTGTTTCCCAAGAAGTTTGTAGCAATTTGATCACAAAAAAATACACCTTATAGAAAGTTTCCTGTTACTTAATAGTACGATTTTTGTATTTTTCAAAGGATAATATTGAAGATTACTTTTAAATGAGAGCTAAGTTTGGGTTTAGCCGTTTATAATATCATTTAAAATTGTTAATTAAATAATAATTGGCTGCTATAATAAAAGTTAGAGTCTAGCTGTTGACCAGTGTTATTAATCATATCACGAGTTATATTCAACATGAGAATATAATAAATGAACACATTTTTTGATAATAGAGTTGATTTCGTCGTTTTGAGCTTGCCTCCAACGTTGGCAAGCCATAAAAGACAAAAAAATTTACGAAATTTTAAAATTTGTCAATTTGACAGTTTTTAAATTTAGAGAGCAACAGACCACAATAAGGCAATAAAATTATTATCGCTGTGATAGACATGTAACTAAGGGCATGAACAAATTCTATTGGACGAAATGGGGTCATGTGATTCATGAATTATATTCTCAGGAGAAAATGTCGCAAATTTCGAGAATTATATCTGTAAATATATGTAGGTTATCCACAAAAAGTTAAGCCGCAACCAGAAATACAATTCCAAAATATCTTTGACATTTCATAGCATTTTTAATTCGTTTCTTTGGAACAACATTGACTAGAGACCCTAGATATACTTTGGAAATATAACTAAAAGGAAGTCCAGATCTCAATTATCATGAATTTTTATTCGTTAATTTCGGAGGCTTACGGTCGGAGTCAATACATAATCGTTTTCCGTTATTCCTAATTTCTTAATCCTGTTCCTGTAGATGCCACTTACGAAAGTGTGCGAAACGTTGAGCCCAAAAATTCAATTAACACGTCTCCAACCCGGAAAACGGTCATGTATTTTTATTCGTTGTCAGACCAAGGGGCGGGACGTAATTGCAAAATACATACTTCCCTACGAAAATTTTGAACATGTTTTAAGTTTCCTGTTGTGAAAAGAAGACTACGTACATTAAGAAGAAAGGGCAAAATATAAGCCCCACCCACCCATCCTGTCTCACTTGTAAAGATTTTTTTTATTCATTGTCAGTCCGAGGGGCAGAGCGTAATTGCAAAATGCATATTTCCCTATAAAAATTTACGATTTTCAATATGTTTTAAGTTTGTTGTTGTGAAAAGAAGACTATGTATATTAAGAAGAAAGGGCAAAATATAAACCCCACCCACCCACCCTATTTCAATTGTAAAGATTTTTTTATTCATTGTCAGACCGAGGGGCGGAGCGTAATTGCAAAATACATATTTCCCAACAAAAATTTTGAACATGTTTTAAGTTTCTTGTTGTGAAAAGAAGACTATATATATTTAGAAGAAAGGGCACTAACATTGACTAATGTCAGATATTACCATGTTAAAATTGACATTTCGGAAAATTAAATTCAGCATCTTTTTTAAATGAGTGGCAAATTAATATAGACGTATGTATTATAAGCTGCATAAATTTGTTCGTTCCTTTATGAAATAAACGATTATAGTATAGCCCCTAGAGCTATAGCTCCTACGGGCTATAGTCAAAAGTAAAGTCACTAAATAATATATATAATAGGGTCATCAAAATTGATTGAGAGAGTTCGTAAACCTGAACTTGAATAATTTGGTTTATTAAGTTGTTTTATCTTAGCTAGCTAGTACTTGTTAAGATAGATAAGACTGATTTTGGCAAATCACATACCCTCCAAGAAAAGAGAGGGTGGGTGGGCGGGGCTAGTATTTGATAAGATAAAACTGATTTTGGCATTTTTGACATTTTCGACCAATTTTCGAAATACTTGAAAACATTTTCTTGTAGATTTCGACATCCATAAGTTATTTTCGGCTTCGTTTCTTCGAAAATTCCTACCGCGTTTCCAAAATCGCCAACTTTTTACAGTTTCGTCAAAACAGCTCGGTATAAAAATTTTGCAGATAAAAAAAGAGATAACTATGTATTAATTTCTGTTTCATAAAATACAATTATTTTAAGAATGTACTTTGTGGTTTTCAATGTTTAAAATTTGTTTATTTGAGACAATAGAAAAGTCAGAACAGAACAGGTCACGTTAGGTCTACTCAACAGAAGAACATAATTAGCCCCACCCACTCACCCTGTCTCTATTTTAGTGATTGATTTTATCCAGTCTGAATGAAATGAATAATCTTATAATAATACTGAACAGAAATAAAATTACTCGTTAGAATGAGAAGAGGGGGGGGGGGGGCTAGTATTTGCTAAGATAAGACTAATTTTGGCAAGTCAAATACCTTCTAAGAAATTAGAGGGTGGGTGGGCGGGGCTAGTATTTGATAAGATAAAGCTGATTTTGGCACTTTCAACATAGATTTCGATATCCAATTTTTGAGTTGATTTTGGGACCGTTTTTTTTTTGAAAAATTTTAAACAATCTTGAGGTATTCCTGTTTGGAGAGAATTTGAAAGTGCTTTGGAGCCTCTAGTTTCATATATTATACCTCTGTTATGTAGTATTAATTATTTAAAATGGGTGGTTAGTCTTGCTTTTAGTAGTATGGTAGTAATAATAAAAATGCGTATAAAATGAAAGTTTCCTGCTAAAAATCGGACATGCGTTACTTGGCAGGATAAACAACACAATCAATCAAAAATGAGCGTCATAAATCATTGTCATATAGTTTTTATAATCGTCTGCATATTGTCAATTTCGAGTGTAAAATACAAACATTTCCCAAATTCCTTTTGTTATGGCTGCTTTTTTAGATCGTGCATACCCAAGGGAAAGAAAAAAATATTTCAGATAGAAGTGCTAGTGTTCCTAACGTTATCAAAGCTACCTACACATTGGAAACGGTTTGTACAATAGCTCCAATTTATTGTTTCTTTTTCTGAAAAAATGTTTTAAAATATTTTGCAAATATGTCAAACTTCCTTTTTTTATTTTTTTTTTTAGAAAATGCCATTAGAAGGAGAAAATATTGCAGCTGTAAAAATTATTCCAAAAGCTCCAAATTATTGTTTCTTTTTTAAGTATTGTTTGCAAATGTTTTGTGAATGTAAAAATATATATATTCCTAACTGAGTTTCATATTCTTACTTGGTAATACTGAGTTGCTCTTTCATCTAATTGTTCGTTTTGAAATTTGACTCTTTTCTTTATGCACCATATTTAATAGAACGGTTTTAGTTGAACGACATTTATTAGGTACACAAGGTGGGAACTAATTTTATGCACAACTCTGGGAATGGTGAAAGCGTTGATCAATGAGGGTCGCTAAGTATCACGATACTATGACTAACACCAATTAAAACTGGAACAAGTAGATCAATAGAACGTAAAATAGATCTTAGTTAATAGTAAATTTATTATTGTTCGCAGAAACTGTTACCAAAAACATTAACAATTCCTGATAAAAATTCTATATACTTAAGAGAACAGAGAACAAAAAATATTATAGCTCTTTGTAGTATTTTTGGAAACATGTTTTGAAACTGTGTTTTCTTTTGGAAGTGTTCTTTTTACGAAGTATCAGATCTTTAAGAATCCATTAAGAACTTTCTCCGCAGATCATCTGATTTTTGGAATCTTTGGCGAGTGGATTTGTTTATTTGGTTGCCTACAATGTAGGGGAAACGCTATTTAAAAGGTATAAAAAACATGAAAATAAAATACATAGAACGAACATAGAGATATATAACTATATTTACAGCATGGAGGTAGAATTCTACTTCTATGATTTATTATTTTAGGAACTGAGTTTGACACATAAGAGGATTTGACCCCAAAGAAAGTTATATCTTCTATTTTTTTTAAGACATCCGGTTTAGAGCTTGCACAACCAATGTTACAGTCAACTTCCCATATTAATACCATTAGTAGTATCACGTACTATTATAGGGACTTTGCATAGAATGAGAGATATAATGTTTCCTATTTAGTTGGACCCGTTTTCCTTGGGTCAGTAACGTTTGCGATCATCATTCTACCCTCACTAATTCTATGGTAATGTGGGGTGATCAGGTGATTGAAACAGTACTCTGGTACTTGCGTTTTGGCGCATTTATTTTGATGTTGTCGGTACGGCGGTTGAAGGAAGAGACTCTTAGTTTGTGAAATTAAAATGAAAAGAAAGATCGGTAGAAAGCGGTAGAAGCAGTTGTGCCTAAAGGGTTCTTGGAAGGTATTCGAAATCTGGGAAAGGATAAGTATTACTGAGAAGGGTGAACAAAAGATAGGTTTTATGACATGCAGGTGGACGAAGAGAAAGTTTCGGGGTGATACTGGGAAGTAATTAAATACAGATTATATACAAATATACAAATGCTATGTAATTTTGTGGGACTTGCCAGACCCCACAGTAACATCTGATTTGATCGAATTATTATTAAAAATACTAAATACGTTTCGTAAAGCAGTTTTGCCTAAATACACTATCCACTTTGGTTATATCCTTTTAATTTTTAATGAATCTATGAATCCATTATTTAGTTTTCTCAGAAAAAGTCAATCTAGTTTCAGTAAAAGTAAAAAGCCAACGTTCGAATCCTGGAAATTCCCCAGAAGCATTCGAGTCCTAGTATTTCTAGGTTTGTGAAGATTCGGATATGGCGGATATCACAGCGGATATGGAACTACTTGTTACCAACAGAGTAGGTACATTTCTACTTCGCGCCATCTTTAAAATATGCTAGTTAAATTCAACCAAAGAAAAATTCCAAGTTACGTAGAAAATACTCACGATAAAGTTTGTGGTTATATCGTTTAACTGGAATAAAAATTATGAACCATAAATACATACATTACAATTATTATTTCATAGAAATGCGTTTTTTTGTTACTGTGAACATGAAAGTAGGTACGAAACTGTCGACAGTGTTTTGTGCATTTGTAAAAACAAGACTTTTTCAGTTTTAAACTGCTGATTTTACCTTTATCACAAAATTTTAACAGTTTGAATGCAATCGATATGGTCCGACGCACAAAATAAGTATCAAAAGTTTACAATGGACATTCAAGTTTTGCGCCACGCATGCGCAGTGACAGATGTTTTGTAGACGTTTGGGAATTGACAGGTAGTGTTTTTATCTGAAAAAGGAACGTATTGTGCATTCGTCCCTTGTGTAATAAATACTTTGGATTATTGTAATTATGTCTGAAAATAGAGAAGAAATCCTTGCAGATTTCCAGGTATTTTTTCTTTCCATATTTATCCAAAATCAATAATAAAAGAGCTCTTTGAAATCGAGTCAGGTTAGAAGAATGACAATCACAATTTTTTCAACATTTTTCCATTGTTTTAGGCCTGTACTGGAATCGAGGATGTTGCAGAGGCAATTTACCACCTGGATGAAACCAACTGGGATTTGCTTGTAAGTATTTTTCTATAATTAGTATTTGTTTAAACAATAATTTTTTTGGTGCTGAAGCGTGCAGTCAGTCGGGTTATGCCACCTGACAGTCAGTCATTTCAACCACGTTCCGATCCAGACGTGATGGTTGTTGATGATTATATTAATGTCCCATCCAGCCCCATTGAGACAGCCACCGATATGATGGAGGTTGGCAATAATGTTGGGCATTCTCGAGTTGTCAGTAATCAAACTAGTGATCAACCTTCTACTTCTAACTTAAGGAATAGTTCAGCCAAGATGCTCAAGTTTAATGTACAATATTGTGATAGAATAATTACAATAGAATTGCCAGAAACTGCTACTATTTGTGAGTGGATGTGCGTGTAGGGGATTTTTACTTACTTAAGAGTTGTATTTTCAGCTGACTTGAGATTGAGATTATTTAATGAATTGAAGATATCACCATGTCGCCAAGTATTATCTGGATGGGCGAGGATGAGTCAGTATGGAAATACTCCTTTTTCTGCTTTGCAACTGCCACAAGAAAATGCATTGCACTTAACAGTTAAACCTTCAGAGGGAGGTTTTTCTGCAGAAGATGAGTAAGTCAATTATTTTTATCATTACTTATCTAATTCTTTAACTCATTTTATTTAATTAACAAATCATACAAAAAAATGTATTACATAGTTTAAACTATAATAATTGTTGAAAGGAATTTAAAATTCAGTTTGTTTTGTCCAGAAGTATATTTTGTATTCTTGTGAATGCTTTCATTTAAGATGAGAAAGATTAATAATATTTACTATTTATGAATACATTGAAAATTTTATTTGTTTAGTTTACTAGTAAATATTAGTACATATTTAACATTTTAAACATTGGATTTTTTGGGACGTTAAATTTTGGGAAAATGCGACAATTATGTCCATTTTATTTCATGTAATACACTTGAACAGATCAATTTAGTTTTTACATAAGCTATAACTTATTTTTATTTTTTTTGCTGATGACGTCAGCTTATGACGTACCAATGTATTATTTATGGAAACTCAAGTTTTTTTTTGATCCGTTTTAAAAGAGAAATAGATATAAAAATGATATATTTTTACTTCATGGACTCAACTCTGTTAATAATTAAACTTTTTTTTTTTCGTTAAGACAAAGCTAAATAATCGGGAATCATGTGAACTATACACAGGTGGATGTTTCGTTATTATTTATTATTGTTATTTAATTAGTGTATCATTCAGAATAACTAATTGAATTAGAACCTTCCTTTAGTACTTTTATAATAAAAAAGTCATAACTTAAAAATCTTAATTTTTTTTAAATGACTAAACATGCCGTCATTTTTCCAGTGGCGAAGTACAAGAAAAACTAACTGGCAAATACACACTTAACATTAAATGCGATGATAAGACTTACAATCTCAAATATCCAGGCACTCAAAACATTTTGAAGGTGAAAGCGGACGTATACACACTAACAAATATTCATGTACGCAATCAAATTTGGAGCGGATGGCCCCCTAATATAGACGATCAAACCATGTTAGCTCTTTCAGGCATTAAGTAAGTCATGCGTGATTCGCTAAGTCGTTTTAACTTCCAACTGAAATTTTAGCTACCCTGAACATGACTTAACCGTAAAACGCTCTTGCCCCGTCAACCACAATAAAGAAAAGAAACAAAACAGTGCTAATATAGTACAAATTGACAGCGATGATGACGAATTTGAAGATGCGTCTGAAAGCTTTAACGTTGATGACGAATACTTTGTTGATAATCCTCCTGCCAAACGGACTGAACCGTTGAGTAAGCACACTTTTAAAGTTTTATATTAGTACACAAAAATTACTAGATTTAGTTTTGTAAAAATCAGAAATAATGTGGTTATCCGGTGGGTTAGTTCCAGATACTATAGAAGATGAGATTGTCGGTAGTATAAGTTTTTCTGAACAATTTACAAATAGATACGGACCAGTTCACCCCGCGTTTTATCAAAGTACTCTAGAAGAAGCCATCAAGGAAGCGTGTTCCAAGCCAGCAGCGGAAGTACGTATATAATTAGAGCGTTTAAAGTAATGATTGATCTTTTACAGAGAAAAATCCTGGCGATTTATCTTCATCACGACTCGAGCGTTTTAACAAACGTCTTTTGTACCCAACTTTTGGGGTATGAAAGCGTCATGCAAATGTTTGAAACTAACTTTATATTGTGGGGTTGGGACCTCACTTTTGAATCAAATCGTACTCGGCTGCAAACATATGTAAATAATGCTTTAGGAGCAACAGCAGCCATGAGTTTACGAAATATACCAGTTGACAGATTGCCAGCGTTAGTTTTAATTATGAGAATTCGGTCTTCAACGGATATTTTTAATGTTATACATGGTAAGATGTTTAAAAAATTCGTTCGTGTTGAGTTAATTGTATCATCCAGGTAATGTTGGCGTCAACGAGTTGTTGTCGAATTTAATTGAAGCGGTAGAAGTTTTCACCGAACATCAACGTGTTGAAATTGTTGAAGAGAAAGAAAGAGCGGAACGCGAATTGGTCAAGTGGGAGCAGGATGAGGCATACCGTGAAAGTCTAGAAGCTGACAGGTATGTTAGAATTTCGCGTTATCAGTCGATTTAAGAATGTATATTTTTGTGTTTAATGTAGAGCAAAAGAAGAAGCCCGAAGGCAACAAGCTCAAGCGGAGTCGGAAGCCCGACAGAGGATAGAAAACGAAAAAGCTCTTGAATTGGCTAGGAAAGAAGCTCATCGCAAAGAAGTGGAAGCTAGTTTGCCGTCGGAACCACCTCTAAGCCAAGGTGACGGCATTGCCAAGATCCGGTTCCGACTGCCCAGCGGTGAAAATATAGAACGTAGATTTCAAGCGACTACGCCTCTTAAAGTCTTGTTTGACTTTTTGACGGTCAAAGGTTTTCCAAAGGAGGAGTTCAAAGTGATCTCTAGCTGGCCTAGAAGAGATGTGGGTTTGTTGAAGTGGTGGTTTGCAAATTTTGTAATTTTGTTGTTTGCAGCTGACTCTGTTAGATGTGAATCATACACTCAAGGATTTAAAATTATGTCCCCAAGAAACTGTGATATTAGAAGAACGATAAATTCAGTCACATTCCCCGTGAGGGTTTAGTTGTGTAGCAGCATTTACATTATGTTGGAGGAGTTAAATAATTATGCAACAACAAGCATCCATTTCAGGTTTTGTTTGTATATATAGCAATATTCTTAGCGACAGTTTTACAACTAATACAGAACATAATAATTGAAATTATTTGACTCAAATAGCTGAATTATTTATTGTCTTGGAAAAGCGTTATGCGGTGAGTATTTTACAAAGTGTTGAAAGATCTAGAACATCTCCTTACACCAAATATAATTTAGTCACTCACTATTATATTTCGCGGGGTATAGTCGTTACTATTCCCTGTCAAAACTGATGTGATATAAATTTGGGCTGATCTTTTAATACAAAATATCACTTCATGGTTGATATCACGAATAATTTCTTATCTAGGTTTAAGACTTTGTACATAAATTGCTGTTATTATTAGTAATTGTAATTTGTCCTTATTTATTAACTAACTTTAATTATAAAATACCGTGAATCAACTAGTATTGTAGTTTTTGTATGACAATGTAATAATTGCCTAAGAGCTTCAAATATTTGTAAAATATTTCCATGTACTATTTATTTCAGAATACAATTACGTCTTTAATAAATCAATTAAATTATACTTTTATGATCAGTAAAATACCCACAATTGTTCTGAATTACGCAATTTATGAAATGTCAGTCAACAAATAATAGTTCAAAACCAAGAGTTAAACATGCGTCAGTTGATACAAGTGATACTAAAACTGTACGCTATTGTTACATCAGCATGCGCTTTTTTGAATGAAGATCTAATTACAAAATACTGCGAGTCCAAACATGTAGAAATGGGAACAATTTTTTCTTGTGAAAATAAAAAAGGTAATGTATCATAGTCCAAAAAATTACAATAAGCACTAGTGCTGTACAGGACAGTACTTAAAAAGATAGTTTTTACTCTGAAAATGTTACCACTTGCTGCATAATTTAACAATCACTAACATAATCGAAAAAAAAGTCGTCTAGTTACCTGTGAAATTTAATATTAAAACAATTACGTTGGCAACAACAACGCGTTCCTTGTTCAGCTTGACAGTTACAGTAAAATCAAAGTCCCTATATAGTACTAATCTAGGGATTCTAATTTGGCCAAAACCATAGAAAATCCTAGTGAGGGTATTCTATGCCAAAACTTGTTCAGTTTAGCAGTTTTGGGCAACATCATTATTTTAAAATTAAATTGAACGGCCTGCTAGACGCGTTTTTTTCAATCATATGATACAATCTTCCGAAATTTTTAGATTTTTCGCTATAATTATCGATCGTATGTTTTATTGTAGACAATGTTAATCATCTGAAATATTTTGCTAAAGTGGGCTTACGGTTTCTGATAATTGACATGCGTAATCCTAGTTTGGACGTAGATAAGTTACTTACTCGGAATTACTATAATATTGCAGTTATTCTTGATGACAACTGCATACATTTGTCCGGACAATATTTCCAGGTAGGTTAAAATAATACAGTATTTCCAGGTAGGTTAAAATGCTATTCAAATTTTACACTAAAATTAAATTTTATTTTCTGTACAAAATTGCAACAAAAGGAATTAAAGATGTTTTTTCTAATCATAACTTATTCACACAGAAACGAAAAGTTAAATTGTGGAACAAAAAAAAAACCGAAACCCTAGCGTAATAATACTCTAGTATTGGAAGATATAGCTTTCTGATAACGGTATTAGTAGGGTTGAACAAGATACAAAAATATAGACAGAGGTGGAGAAGCGATTCCGAGATATCCGAAAGACTATAGAAAGAGATAGACAAATTTTGACTTAACTGTTTAGTTCAAAGCCGTAGACTTTTTTCCTAATAGAAAAAATATAGCGACTATGGTCATACATCTGAAAATAATCGAGAATTTAAATAATAAAATTAATAAATCTATTGTTACCGAAAATGGACCATAAGATTAATAAGAATGAAAGTCTGCCACAAGTCATAACATTCGCAACAGTCCCAGTGTAAATTGGGATTTATAAACTTGCTGTTGACGTTGACGTTGCTTTTAGAGCTGAAAATTGTCATTTATAAACTCCGTTACCAACTTTTGCCGTATTTAAAGGGATTGTAGAAAAAAAGTGGAGGATTTAAGTTGATTACTACAAAGATTTACCATTTTATACGTGTTTTAAGTTTCTTATTCTCGAAATAAGTCTACACAAATTAAGATAAAAAAGGCAAAATGTAGCCCCGCCCACCCACCCTATCTCATTTGTGATGATTTTTTGTTCGTCGTGAGCCAAGGGGGCGAAGCTTAACTGCAAAATCCTTATTTCTCTACGAGAAATTAAAGACATGTTTTTGAGTATCATGTTGTTCAAAGAATACTATGTGTATTAAGAAAAAAATAAAGCCAAAAATTATCCATACCCGCCTCGACCTCAATTCTCAATTGTGATGAATTTTTCATTCGTTGTCAGATCGAGGGGCGGGGCTTAATTGCAAGATTCACATTTGTTTACAAGAATTTAGCATTTTAAACATGCTTTAAGGTTCTTGTTCTGAAAAGACGACTACGTATGTTAAAAAAAAGCAAACCCCACCCACCCGCCCTCTCTCAGTGTGATGATTTTTTTTGATCGTCGTGAGCCAAAGGAGCGAAATTTAATTGCCAAATCCTTATTATTTCTCTACAAGAAATTACCATATAAGACATGTTTTTGAGTAGTGTGTTATTCAAAAAATACTATGTATACTAAGAAAAAATTAAAGCCAAAGATTGAGCCCCACCCATACCTGCCCTGATCTAAATAGTAATGACGTTTTCGTTCGTTGGCAGACACAGGGGCGGAGCCTAATTGCAAAATCCATATTTCCTTACAAAATTTTAACATTTTAAATGTGTTTTAACTTTATATGAATAAAAAAAATCATCACAATTGAGATGGGGTGGGTGGGCGGGGTTTATATTTTGCCTTTTTTTCTTAATATACATAGTATTCTTTGAACATGGTTTTAATTTCTTGCAAAGAAATAAGTATTTTGCAATTAAGCTCCGCCCCCTTGGTTTTCGGCGAATAAAAAAAACATCACAATTGAGATTGGGCGGATGGGCGGGCTTACATTTTGCCTTTTTGTTGTAATATGTGTACACTTCTTTTCATAGCAACAAACTTAAAACATGTTTAAAATGGAAAATTTGTATAAGGAAATATGGATTTTGCAATTATGGGGCGGAGCCTAATTGCAAAATCGATATTTCCTTATACAAATTTTGCAATTAGGCTCCGCCCTATAATTGCAAAATCCATATTTCCTTGCAAAAATGTATCATTTTAACCACACTTTAAGTTTCGAAAAGATGGCTATCTATATTAAAAAAAAGGCAAAATATAAGCCCCGCCCACCCATCTTCTCAATTCTGATGACTTTTTTAATTCGTCGTGAGCCAAGGAGCGGAGTTTATTTGTAAAATCCTTATTTTTGTACGAGAAATTACCAGGTAAAATATGTTCTTAAGTAGTCGTGTTATACAAAGAAAACTAAATGTATTAATTAAAAAAGAAAAAACAAAAGAGAAGCCCCACCCATCCTTCTCGATCTCAATCGTGATCAATTTTTCATTCTTTGTCAGACCGAGGGGCGGAGAGTAATTGCAAAATCGAGATTTCCCTATACAAATTTACCATTTTAAGTTTCTTGTTGTCAAAAGAAGTCTACACATATTACAACAAAAAGGCAAAATCAAAGCCCGCCCACCCGCCCTGTATCAATTGTGATGATTTTTTTTTATTCGTCGTGAGCCAGAGGGGTGGAGCTTAATTGCAAAATTATTATTTCCTCTATAAGAAATAAAAAACATGTTATTGAGCATAGTATTTATGGCATACATATTACACATTGTGTATTAAGAAAAAAAAAATTGGTCTAAAGAGTTTAGACAGTACTTCCCTCGCTGTCGGAAACTTGACGACTGCATGCCTATTATGTTTTTTTTTCTCATTACATTTTTGTAGTGGGAATTTAAAAAAAAATTGTGATGACGTCATCAACATTTTTGCAAGGACACGTATATCAGTTGGGATAGATGTAGTGTAATACTAAGAATAAAATTATTGTGTTCCCAAATTTTCGGGAAAATGAATTGGGTCGTTTTGAATATTGATTTCTTATAATCAATAAAATAACGAAACAATTTACTCACGTATACGGCGCCGGTGTGTAACATCTAGAGAGCGGATTTCTGTCGGGCTAGGCAAGGCCAAACTCGGTACGGCTCGCACGGGATGCGAATTCATTGCCGTTGCGGACTGCACTTCGTTTATTTGAGATTAGAATAACGTTGTTTCGTTGCACTCTGCTGTTAATTTCCGTTCTCATTTACTTAGCCGTTTGATTAATAAATCGTTAATTATATTTATGGAATCCAGCACGTCCCCCCCTATAATCGTGACGTAGCCCGACAGAAATACGCTGTCTAGTAATATGAGGGGCAACTGAAAATCGTTTATGTATAAACATTCTTAATTTAAGATGACAAGCGTAACAGCATACGTAAGAGCCAAACAGAGAAACTGTAAACAAAACGACCATCGGCTTTATTGCTTCGACTTCCGCTTATTATATAAAACATTGCGTTTTATTTTAATTCTTGACGGTGAAATTCACAATTGGTTGATTATAAACATGTCTATTTCGCATTCGCGGAACCAAGTGACCGCATAAAACAAATGCAGGTCTGTAATGTTAAAGTCGATGTAAATAAGCGTGCTACTCTTATGTTTCAACCGAGTTTTTCCTTTAACAAATTTTGTGTCTACCAAATTGGGTTGGTTGGGGTGTAATACTAATAATAAGTGTTGCCTTTAATTTAATCAATAAAATAAATTGACTTCATTAATTTTTTTGAACCACCTCTTAAGAAAATCTAAAAAATATGAATGGAATGATAAATCACAAGTACAAACTCATCATATTTTTTGCATTTTAGATAGGATTTATTCAGCAAAATTTAAGGGTGACGTCATCAATTTTTTTAGGAGGGATGAACAAATACATTTTGAACAAAAGTTTACCATGCTTATAATAACTTTAAAATATTCCCAAGATTTCAAAGCATTCGGTTTTGTAATTCCTGATTAAATCGATAAAATAAATTCACGCCTTCATTAATTTTTTTGAGTCACCCTGCATATGCAAATCCAAAAATATGAATGGAATGATAAATCACAAGTACAGACTCATCATATTTTGTACATTTTAGATACGATTTATTCGGCAAACTTTTGAGCTGACGTCATCAGTTTTTTGTAGAAGATAACCAAATATATTTTGACTAAAAATTTATTATGCTCTTTATTATAACCTTACAACATCTGCAAGATTTCAAAGCATTCGGTTTTGTAGTTCCTGATTAAATCAATAAAATAAATTTACGCATTCATTAATTTTTTTGAGTCACCCTGTATATGCAAATCGAAAAAATTTGAATGGAATGATAAATCACAAGAAGAGACTCACCATATTTTGTACATTTTAGATAGGATTTATTCAGCAAAATTTTGTGGTGACATCATAAATTTTTTAGGGGGGACGACCAAATACGTTTTGATCAAAAATTTACCATGCTTATGATAATTTTAGAATATCTTCAAGATTTCGAAGCATTCGGTTTTGTAGTTCCTGAGTAAATCAGTAAAATAAATTTACGCTTTCATTTATTTTCTTGAATCACCCTGTATATGCAAATCCAAAAAATATGAATGGAGTGATAGATCACAAGTACAGACTGATCATATTTTGTACATTTTAGATATGATTTATTCGGCAAATTTTCGAGCTGACGTCATCAAGTTTTTGGAGGGGATAAGCAAATATATTTTGACTAAACATTTATTATGCTCTTTATGACCTTAAAACATCTGCAAGATTTCAGAGCATTCGGTTTTGTAGTTCCTGATTAAATCAATAAAATATATTTACGCATTCATTAATTTTTTTGAGTCACCCTGTATATGCAAATCCAAAAAATATGAATGGAGTGATAGATCACAAGTACAGACTCATCATATTTTGTACATTTTAGATATGATTTATTCCACAAACTTTTGAGCTGACGTCATCAAGTTTTTGGAGGGGATAAGCAAATATTTTTTGACTAAAGTTTTATGATGCTCTTTATAGCCTTAAAACATCTGCAACATTTCAAAGCATTCTGGTTAGCAGATTAAAAATTAAATTTCAAAATATTGTTTTATAATTTTGATTTTTTTTCCAAAAATCTGGACGTTTCGGGTGAAAAGTCGATTCAGAGTTGTAAACTACATGTGTAGGACTATGTTATTTTATGCAATTGAAAACCCATTTACTATGTACAATTTTGAAGTGACGTCATCGCATTAGTGGTGGGGATGATTAGACAAATTTTGGTTAGCGTTTTACCATCTACATGATATTCTTAATATAAGTACAAAATTTCACAACAATCGGTCGAGTACTTTCGGAGATTATCTGTCTAATAAAAATCCGGGACAACAGACGGACAGACGGACAGACGGACGGACAGACGGACAGACGGACAGACGGACGGACAGACGGACAGACGGACAGACGGACGGACAGACAGACAGACGGACAGACGGACAGACAGACGGAAATGGGAGACCTATTTCTTCGTCTTCTAGGGGTCATGAAAGATCGAGAAAACGTAAAAGTAGAGAGTCGGCCGACGGACTCGATTACAATACTTCCTTTGCTTACGCTCGGGAAGTAACAAGCCAAAAATGAAGCCCCACCCATATCCATCCCAAGCTCAATTGTGATGGATTTTTAATTGCAAAGTCGATACTGTCTTACAAAAATTTACCATTTTAAACATGTTTTACCTTTCTTTTTGTGAAAAGAAGACTACACATATTAAGAAAAAAAGGCAAAATGTAAGCTCTTGTAGTTATAATAACTAATCTTTTTTTGAGATAAATAGCAATAAATCTTGTTGATTTAAACGTCGAGAACTATCTTTAACAATGCACAAAACTACAGTGTAGAAAATGATAGCAGCTATTTAAAATATGAAGGTTTCGGTGAACAGGTTATTAAACGGCTTAATATTAGTGGACGCCATTATCTCTATCAAAATTTGATTTTCGTGGAATTAGTGCTGTCAACCAAAAAAATGTCCCCCCTACTTCAGGGGATTTTCCTTCAAGTTGGCGGCACTGCACACTACCGCAATTTGATTGGTTGAAAACCCAACTTTCAACGGTAACGTTAACGGCGAACAGTAACGTCAGCGGCAATTTTATAAATCAACCTTGTATATGTATTCTGTGGTGTCGATAATATCTGGGACAGCAGAGAGACAATTTTGAACAACTTTGATAGATGTTTCCTTCTTTTCATTCTTGTTTTTTTTAACAAATAAAAAAATCTTATGCATTCGTATTTTAAAAACAAATCTCTAACGTAAGTTTACTACTACTACTACTACTACTACTACTACTAAACGTAAAAAATAAGCAGTATACAGCGGCAAAGGTTTTTTGTCAGTCACCCTGTATATATATCTTTTTCATTAATTTGTTTCTAAATATTTGTACTTAGTAATAATTTGTTTACAAGTGTATTAATAAATAATTGACGTATAAATTTGTTTATATTTGTGTTTTTTGAACTTTATCTTTTAACATTTAAGATTAAAATGATAAAACAATCAAACAAAGCTCGTGGAATTTTTCATTAAAAAAATGCGTCACTTTTAGGACAAGAAATACTTTTATGAAACATATCATTGGTTGGTTGGCACTAACCTTCAATCAAAAAACAGAATATTAAATTTTTTGAAGAGTTTGCCGTTGAACATCAATTCTGATGTAAACTTGGCATACCCGCACTCAAAAGATGAATACGTAATTCTTGATGTTTACAACCCCGCATCACAGCATAGCGGACAATTCACTAGTGGTATAGTAGGGTATTACAATAAACATGCTGGTTATAAGGCAACAATCCCCGAAAACAAATACTGGATACGAAAAAATATGACCGGAGTTCGCTTTAAATCGGCTGTTGTCGTCACAGACCCCCACACAAATCTGGAAGATTACCTAACTAGTGAAAAAAATCGTAAAGTTGGTTCAATGCACAGATTTCAGAGTGTTACTGTGAACTATTGCAAAGATATGTATAATTTCAGTTTACACATAGAAAGAACCGATTCTTGGGGTTACTTAACGCCGAATGGTCATTTCGACGGTCTCGTGGGTCTTTTGGAAAGAAGACTCGTAGATTTTGGCAGTTCACCGCTTATTTACAAATTAGATCGAATGCCCGTTATTGACTACAGTTACGGAAATTGGATTTTGAGATCCACTTTTATTTACAGACGACCGAAAATTATAGAAACGTCATACAAAATTTTAATGAGACCTTTGTCGAATACCGTTTGGATTTGCATAGCTTTAATGATGGCGCTTTTGATGACATTTTTAAAGTTCATTTTTAGTAGGGAAAAAAGAATTTTGCGAAGAAAAAATAAAGTGGACAGCAGCTGGAGCTTCTTGTTTCTTTTTACTTTGGGGGCTTTTTGTCAACAGGGTGCTACTTGTTACCCTCAGTTAATAAGCAGCAGGACTTTATCCGTTTTTGTGTTCTTATTTTGTATATTGATTTATCAATTTTACTCCGCCAGCATTGTTTCTTATTTAATAATGGATCCCCCGAGGAAGATTAATAATTTAAGGGACTTGACGGACAGTAATTTGGAACTTGGAATCGAGGACATTTTGATTGACAGAAATTACTTTGTGGTATGAATTCGATAATCCATTAATGTTGTTTTATTAATGTCTTTGTGGTTACAGCAAACCACAGACCCGGTTGCTATTGATCTATTTAATAAAAAACTCAAAGGGGATTCTAACGATTCCGGATTTTATAAACCAGAGAAAGGATTACAAATGGTAAAGGAAGGAGGATTTGCTTTTCATGTTGAAACTAGTACTGCTTATCCTATAATTGAAGACACTTTCACAGTTCAAGAAATATGTGAACTTGAGGAGGTGCAAATGTATAGAACGCAACCTATGCACACGAATCTACAAAAAAATTCACCTTTTCGAGAAATGATGAATTATTGGTGAATTCATTTTAGATTAATAAACATGTAGCTGACTTGGGGATTTTAGCATGCTGCATATAGTTGAAAATGGACTTTTGTTTCGTCTGCGAAAGTACTGGGATGCTCGAAAGCCTATTTGCATGGAATATGCGAAAAAAGTTACTATTCATGTTGGAATAAAAGAATTTTCGTCCGGATTAATCGTCCTAAGTTATGGGATTTGTTTTTCTTTGATTTTTCTTTTAGGTGAAATTATAATCTTTCACAAAAAGTTAATAGCGGACTTTTTTCTTGAACGCAGGGTCATAAAGCCGTACACAGAGTGACAATTTAAGTCTAGAGTTAGTTCTCGACTGTTATTTGTGCATTTCATTTCACTTTGTAAAAGGTTTCAATAAACACTAAGGTATACATTATTATTATTATTTTTTTTATAAAAAATTCTAAAAATAGGAAAGATTCAACAAAATCTTCAAAATTTAAAAGTCTTGAAAGTCTACTACTTTTACAAATTATAGAAATTCTAATAATTTTACCGAGTTTGTGATAAGATTCCAAATATTGTGAAAGTCTAAAACTTCTCAAAGTTTTCCAACATTTCAAGGATCTAAAAATTCTATGGATTACAGGGTTTTTAGGAATTTAACAAATTTCAGGGATTCCACAGATTCCACAGATTTAAAAAACGTAAAGATGTTAAAATTCCTACAGATCCAAAAAGCTTTAAAAATTTTTGAAATGGTGAAGAGCCTAGAGAAACTAGGAATTTAAAAGTTCTAAAGATTTTAGAAGTTCTATGAATTTTAAAGATTACAAAGATTAGAAAAATTCGAAAGTTTGGTTTAAATTTTTGCTTTATTTAATGCAAAATAATGATTTTGAATAGATTTTAATATTCAGTTATGTTTTTATTGCTAACATTCCTCATTTTTAAATATTTAAAACATAGAAATACGGGCTTTGTATTATTTTAAGCTATGTTTGATACACTTTATACTATTTTCATCGATTATGTAGTTTGATATTGCTAAATTTTTTATTTTCGTAAAATGGTGGATGCGCCGGGTTATTTTAATTTTTGACTTATGCAAATGTTTTTTCATTATTTAAAATCTAAACTAGTGAGAAGTGCTTTTTAACAAAAGATAGCAATAGTTTCGTTAGCAAAATAAACTTAGAACCGAATGTATGCAATAGAATATATGTATGTATAAGATAGTAGTAAAATCAGACTGTTGTACTGTTTAAAAAAGGTAAACTTTTTTTCTGAGCTCGGAATGAAAAGATTTATATGGAGAGTTAAATATTTTACTAACCAGATGTATTAGAGTGATAAGTGTTATAATATATGTATTTATAGCTAATAACACGTAATACATAGTACCGAGAGGGTAATATAAAATCGATTCGAAGATCCATGGCTTTTGCTAATCGTGTTTTTATTACTCTCTCGTTATATTGACTACATAGTTTAAATCGATTATAATATTTGAAGTGTGACAATGGTAGTTTGGTTTCAGGGTAATGCTATGGTCGTCATAATTATTGTTATTTTAAAACCATCGTCGTCAGTTCACATATGGAAAAGCAGACTTTTTATTTAAAAGTAAAATGGAACGTCGATCTGGTTTTTCGTTTCTCCTTTTTATCTGTTGTTCAAGGATTAATAAAGTTAAACTACTAATAATCCCCACCAAAAATATAACTAAAGCAGGATAAAACTCATCTAAACCCACATGAAAACTAATAGACCTAGAAGACTGAATACATTCTGGTTTCCGTGGGTGCCAATGTCTTCTTTCCCTGAACAACAGTCCATGTTCTGCCAAACGCTGAAAACTAGTCCACAATCACAAAATTATAAAAAAAAATAGATAGCTACCAAGTATCAAACATATCTCTAAAGGGTGACTGCTTTTGATAATTTGCGTGCATCGGCTGTGTTCTAAACAGCTGAATTTCTTTAAGTTCACAAATAGGCTTTGCATCAAATGTTGCCTCTATTATAGGATACGCCGTCGCAGTCTCCACATGAAAGGCATAACCTCCTTGTTCAACTAATTTTAAACCATCTTCTGGAGAAAGAAAGTTCGATGTGTTCTTCTTGCCAATGATTTTCTTGGTATATAATTCTCTCGCCACTTCATCGGTTGTGTGCTACAATGGATATTATATGTCGAAAACACAAAACTATGAATATTTTACCTGGAAATAGTCACGATCGTAGAGAATATTCTCACAACCTGCTTTTAAAGAGGAGTCTAAAAGATCTTTGATGGTTTTAAGGTTAGTGAGGGGTTTCATTAGCAAGTGAGACACTAAGCTAGCTGAGTAAAATTGATAAATGAGAATAGAAAGTAAGAAAATTGTAATTGTAGTAATTCTTCCACAAGTCATTCTTGGAGTTGATGGTGAACCTAAATTAAAGACTGATAACAGTTTAACTATCAAAAATACTAACCTTGTTGACAGAAAGCCCCTAAAGTTAGAATAACTGACACCCCCCATGATGTTTCTGTATGATAATGGTACTTTTTTCTTTCAAAAGTAGTTACAGTTTTTAAAATTACTATAGACACTACTGCCAATAAACCGGTTATTAGCCAAACAGAAGTTGGTAAAGGATGTAGAAATATTTCAATAGAAGTTCGAGCTTTTGGATTTCTAAACAAAAAAGCTGCCCTAAACATAAAGAAAATTATGATTTTAGTTGATTCGTTAAATTTTTTACTAACCTTAAAACCCAAGTGTTTCTGCCATAATCAATAACTCTAGCACGATCTTCTCGCACAAAGAGAGGAGAGCTGCCAAAGTCTATGATTTTTTGTTCCAGAGCTCCCACCATTCCATCGAAAGTACCATCTGGATTTGTGTAACCCCAAGACTTTGTTACTTCAATGTTAACCCTGCAGTATATTTTATCACATTCGTGTTACACATATAAATAAACCAATTACGAATAGTTATAAAAATCCCTACAGAAACTTGTCAGTCTACTATGAAACCGATTGAAAGTGTTAACGTCTCTGTTAGCATCGCTGTTGAGATAATCATCTAGTGTTCCTTTAAATGGCATTGGCAACTACAACATTTGATCAATTGTTTAAATAAGTGACAAGAATTTTGAATTATGATTTACCACAACCATTGATTTGAAGGTAACACCAGTAACATTTTTTCTGCTCCAGTATTTGGCTTCGGTTTTTTTAATCTTATATCCTACTTTATGCTCATAAAAACCAATTTTTGTAAAATTTGGGTTACCACCGTGTTCACTTGCAGGATTATAGAAGTCAAAAATTGACCATACTGTAGGTGTGTCGAAAACGGCTATGTGAATATCAGCGTTAATATTTAAAGTAACATTCTCAAAATTTTCGACAAAATTGTTAGAGGAAACTAAAATTAACCAGTGGTGTTTTACATCAAAAAACTTTAAATATCCACACTAAAAATATTCTTAGGATATACCTATATCTGCGACAACTATTAAATATCTTACTATAACCAAAAATTCTGCCACGTTAGCACAGTCCCCATCCAAAATGATACCCAAGTGGTTGTGTTTTGTTTGAAGTTTCTTGTAAATGTTATGCTGTTTTAGGTTAAAAAGAGATAAATGTCGATTTTTCGTCATTAATATTTTGGCCAAATTAAGTTTTTCTAAAAAAAATGTTTTCAAATGCTGAAGTATGTTTAGTTTTTAGGATCAACCGTTTTTGCTAAAACAGCCCAGAATTGTAGCATATTTGATAGACTTTTCTTTAAAATAGCTATGGATTATATTCACGTCAATTAAAGATGCTGAAATACTAATGGTTAAAAACAACAAAAGTGTAAGTTTCTTCATCATTTGAAACAATTGTTCACTTTGATTAAAAGTAGTTTCATAACATTCATTCCACGGAAGAAATTGTGAGATTATACCAAATTACGCAATACTTTTGTAAATTGTTGCTGTTGACAAAATATACAGAGAATACGTAATGTTCCACGTTCAGATAGTTAACAAAAAAATTTATAGCCACTCACATTATTTTTTCTACGTTAGGCACTCTTCTAATTAAACTGCTGACTATTAAGATTTATTAGTCATCAACTTTTATTTATCGCGTGAGTATCAAGAAAAAATCAAATGACAGGCACATGCAAGTCGAAATTTTTAATTATTCGCATGTGAATAGTCGATTTCAGTAACCGCAAACTTATGTCGACAGAAAAAATGGATAATTGAACAGGAAAAAATCTTTTTATAATACAGTCACAAGAATCTTATTTTCAACAGACAGATAGAGTGAATTTGTTTAGCATAATGCGGATGTTAGCATAAATTTTATTTTTATACAACCCAGATATTTAAAAATAAAATTTATGCTAACATCCGCATTATGCTAAACAAATTCACTCTGTCTGTCTGTTGAAAACAAGATTCTTGTGACTGTATTATGAAAAGATTTTTTCCTGTTCAATTATACATTTTTTCCAATGTTTATTATTCAAAATACAACTTTCGGTTATGAACGTCGTGATTTTCGATATAAAAGTTCAAATTAAATTTATTTTAGCGTAAAGTTGGTGTTTTAAATACTAGAAATGGGTTTATTATTACAATCCAGTTATAAAAAAAATGTGTGGTAACTCTTTCGATTTTTTAACTTAAGCATCGTTTTGCGTACGTTGACCAATTATTTCATGTCATTTTATAGCATTCCTCTTAATTTTGGTAATATAATGTCTGGCGAATCAAGAAGTTTTGACCTTTCACCCACAACTACGAAGTTTCAGCCACAGCTAATGATTGCGAATTCGCTGTGAAGGAAATTGAAGGACAGCAACAGTCAAGTTTATAAATCGTTCTAAAATTCGTGTAAGATCAAAAAACTTATTTATTTACAAAATTTCGGTCTTTGGATTTTGTACTAAATCAGAAGAAATTAACGTCTAAATTCTGTTAGAAAAATTATTAATACTTAGATAGATAGTTAATGGTTCCTTGGAAAAATAATTTATGCGAATATATTGTTTAATAGTCTTTTTTAGTTTAGTTAATTTATTGCGCTGAACTCACATTTTAATAATAAATACTGTTTTAAAAGTGTCTGCTGTAAATGGCGACATGCATGTGTAATTTATTCCAAAATTTAAAATCTACCACCTGTTGCATTCAGTTTAACAATAAAAAACCCTGAGAGTTTAATTTTTTTAGGATTGGCACCAGAGCTTCTTGTCACGAACTGTCAGTGATGTTTAAAAATGTGATGAAAATAAAATGAAAGACAACTTTAAATTATTTCTCCCTAAAATTGACACTGGCAACGTTGCCAGTTGTAGTTTCGAAGAAATTGCAGTGTTGGTGGATTTTTAAATCTAAATTAAATTCGGTTAATGATAAATGAAGGCTTTTAGTTTTTAAACATTTTTAATAATCTTAATGATATTAAGAAAAAACATTGTTTTTATATACTCATTAATTTATTGCACGATTCACTGTTGCATTCGTTTTATCTACTGTATCAGAAATAATGTACAATAACTTCTTTTTCTAATTCTAATTCTTAAGCATTTTATCATTTTCATGAGTGATAGAAGTTACTCGAGATGAAACGACATACTTAATTAACAAACGTAATTATCCGAGATAGTATAAATGACAAGGTAAGTTTGTTGTTTTTCTACAGTGATTTCATTTTCAAGATTATAATAACCTCCATAATCCACCACTACTTTGTAAATGGAAACTTTGTCTTCTTCAACTGCTGCGACGGCTGTTTTACTCTGGACTTCATTAACGAAATATGTTTCTCTGCAATTAAGACAATTAAACTAATAACAATCCCTATTAACAGTATCAACAAAGCGGGATAAAATTCGTCTAAACCGACATGAAAAGTTACAAATGTGTCTTGAATACATTCGGGTTTTCGAGGATGCCAAAATCTTTTTTCTCTAAAGAGTATTCCATATTCGGCCAATCTCTGAAAACTGAGATACCTCCTCCATTAAAAATATCTTCCATTTTATTGAAATGGCATACCAAGTTTCCAACATATCATAAAAAGGTGAACCTTTTTGGTATGTATTGTATAGATCCGTATTTGTAAACAGCTTTACTTCACGAAGTTCACATATAGCTTGGTCAGAAAAACTTGTTTCAATGGTAGGATAGGCTCTTGCCACTTCAATGTGAAACGCATAGCCTCCACTCCTTACTAAATCGATTCCTAATTTAGTTGGCCAAAAGTGCGACGTATTTCTTTTGCCGTAGATTTTTTTTGAATAAAATTGCTTGATGAATTTATCACTAGTATGCTAGAAAATAATCCATTATACAAATTCCATGTTCATGATACTTTCCAACTTCGAACAAATCCCTGTTGTAGATGATATCTTCACATCCAACATTCAAAGACGATTCCATGAGATCTTTCAGAGTTTTGATTTTATTCGTGGGTTTCATTAGTAAATTCGAAACGATGCTTGCTGAATAGAATTGATAAATCATTACAGACAGGACTAATATTGATATCGCAGTAATTCTCCCACACGCCATTTTTGGAACATCTGGCGATCCTGCAACAAACGTTCATTTAACTCTCTCGAAACAACAAATAAATAAAAGATACCTTGTTGACAAAAAGCTCCTATAGTGAATATAACAGACAAACTCCAAGAACTTTCACTCTCACTAAGATATCTTTTTTTTTCGAACGTGGTAACCATTTTTAAAATAACAACTGATACAATTGCAAAGAAACCAGTTATCAACCAAATGGAAGTTGAAAGAGGTTTTAAAAAAATTTCGATAGACGTTCGTGATTTTGGACTTCTGAATAAAAACCCTGCCCTGGAGAAACATAAAATTAAAATTCTTAACATATAGTATTTACCTAAAGCTCCAAGTACTTCGCCCATAGTCTATGACTCTAGAACGATCTTCTCGTACAAATATAGGCGAACTCCCAAAGTGAATCAACTTTCGCTCTAAAGCACCGACCATACCGTCGAAAGATCCATTGGGTAATGGATAGCCCCATGAGTTACCTAACTGGGTATTCATCCTGTACTAACTTATTGAAATAAATGAAAATGTAAACTGACGAATACATTACGTGTAGTTGTAGTAATCTCTACAAAAACGAAGAAGTTTGTGTTGAAATCTGTTGAACGTATTAATAGTTCGGTTATCTTCGTTGTGCAAATAATCTTCTAGTGTTCCTTCAAAAGGTACTAAAAGCTACGAAAATGTTAAAAAACGGTGCTATCTGTCTCTATATTTTAGATATACCACTACTATTGTGGTAAGAGTAACACCGGTCATGTTCCTTCTTTTCCAATATTTAGGTTGTTTGATTCTTGCATTATAGCCTAGTCCTTCAGCATAAGTACCTATTTTTTCATAAATTAAAATACCACCATACTCCGAGGCTGGATTATAAATGTCACTGATGCTCCAAGTGTTACTTAAACCTTTTATAGCGAGATGAATATCAGCGTCAATGTTTAAAATGACTTTGTTAAATTTGTTGGTAATATTTGGTGAATTAGACACCACTAACCAGTGATGTTTTACATCGAAAAATTTTTGTTGACCACACTAAAAAGTTTTACCTTTTTCAAAATGAACAAGGTGTAAGAAACAAATACCATGATCAAAAATTCTTCGCTTTTGCGACAGTCACCATCCAGCACGACGCCAATTTGTTGATGGTTGGTTATAAGACTTTTCTGAACGTTGTTTCGGTTTAAATTTAAAACAGAGACAGGGTGAAATTTTAACATCAACTTTTTTGCTACATTTTTATGTTCTAAAATTTTAAGGGTCGTGAACTACTTATTACCATCACAATAATAATAAATACAATTATTACTAACCTCGTTTATTAAAACAACCAATAACAGTGGCTGCCTTAATGAATTTTTCATTAAAATAGTTCTCCGTTAAATTTATTTGGAAATCGCCGAATACTGGAAGAATAAATATTTTTGGTAACAACAATAAGAATAAACAAACAACGTGCATGTTGGGTGTCATGTTTATGTCGCTGGTGACAAGAACTTCGGTTTTATAGATTTACATGAATCAAAGATCTGAGAAAAAAAAGTTTGTAATTTATTAATTCTAACACTACACTATTCAAACATAGATGTCTTTTTAATACTCCGATCTAAACACGATAGTAAAGCATGCAACGTGATTTTAGTTTATTTGTATATTTTTGTCTGTCGCTTCTAGCGTTTAGAAAGATCAATATTATACGTAATTATTTAAGTGACAAATATGTATTTACTTCAAACTTAACGATAATTTATCTTTTTTTGGATATAAACATTAAAAATAATCCAGTACTTTCCGAGATTAAATATCTAATAAAATTACCAACCAGCGACAGACACACGGAAACGGGAGACCTAGTTTTTCAGTCGCCAAATAGAGTCTGTTACAATTCTTCTCTGGCTTAAGTTCTGGAAGCAAAAACATAGATAATAATAATCATTGGCCTACAAGGTGTTTTCACCGGTTAGCTTAAAATTAACGCACTCTGACAACACTGTACTGATACAAAAATAACTTTTCGAAGGAACTCATCTTCTAAGAGCTTAACCGATATTTTATTACCTTATTCCATAGTATCTATCAGATAGTTTTTCGTTTTTCTCTGATAACATGTGGTCGTCTGTGTACGGCATTGTTGGCTTCATTTTATGTGCCGTACTTATCATTATAGTTATCAAGTGTTGTTGTGATGCTGACAACGAAGCAATTTCCCAGTCGCACCAAACAGTGTCAACATTTGCAAGTGATGTTCCATCACAACAATTTCAACACAGTGTGACTTTCAATGGTATTCCGATTTCTGTAGGTGAAGGTTTGTACTGTAATCTTAATGTTGTAAAATTTTGAAGTTTGTGGGTGAATGGTGAGTTGTTTACTTAGTGGTCGTTGTAGCGATCATTATTTTTAGATATAAAAATATCCATCGAACCGTGCGCTTCAGATAATAAAACACGTAGTGTACGGCCGTGTTTTCCAACTTGTTTAGTGAACGATTATAATATTTAGTTTGAGCCTAAATACCTAACTGAAATTCAAGGAAAACAATATACTAGAAAAATTAGAAATCATACTTAGCAAAGACACGTTGAAAATTTTGACGTTTGAATAAATTTGCTAATAATGAAAACAACGTCTAAACTCTAAGTAATCGAGGAAACTAAGTACTGTTTTAAGTACCTAGAACAATCTGGACTAAAATTCCGTCTGTAAATTATCATACGTACTATCAATAAATAACTTGTACTTATTAGTAGGTCCTAAAAATTTTAACTAAGTGTATAATAAGATGTTTTGCATTCAATTCACATTCTAACGGATTTAGTGTCCACAATAAAATTTGGTATGGAGGAAGTGGGAACAATGCCATACTGTTTTGAGAATTGTGTATTATTTACATATAACATCCAAGGAAAGGTTATTTTTAGCAATACGTCATAGTTTTGGAAATAGTCGTAGTTGTTTGTCACATAAAACAATAATTTCACACGTAATACTAAGGTTTGCAGACTTCTTTCTATGAATTTTATGTACTGTTATACACTGTATTTTCCAAATTTTCTAGCAACCAAAAATTTGGATTTTCCTGCTTCCTCCTAAGAATTTCCTTAGTCTATGTTGACCCAAACATCCTGCCAAAATTAGACATGTGAACAAAATTTTAAACCCCGCGAAAAATAAAAAATTTGACCTGAAACTATAATCGTCAACAAAAGTGAAACTCTACGTTGTCTTTTTATGGCGGAATGCGTTCAAATGCAAAGCTGGAAAAGTGCCCCTAAATCAAACACAAACTATGGAGGACAAAAATTGTTTATTTCTCCATTTTGACGGGAAAAAGCTATGAAATAAGCTAGTTCTCAGCTGCAAAACAATACTCAAGTTATTACGATGGTGTAGTGTTGCCGCATGTTACACTCTTTACCCGGTCTTCGCAAAATGGCCAGCTATTGGTACAAGCTGCACCTTTCCCACGAAAATTTTCAATTAACGTTTGTTATGGCGGTTTCAAAGTCCTTTCTCTTAAAATGAATCAACCTTTAAGAATTATTATTATATGTACATAAATCTCGACTGACAAGTTATGAACTGTGGATAATGTAATACAATACTTAAGTAACTCTCAAATTTTCTATCTACTGTACATTCCAATCCTAACCACTACTAATCTATAAAGTGATATTCACTAATTTCCTAACGTTCTAACTCTGCATGGTTGATTACCTATGTTGCTGACATTCTTTTTCCTTCCCGAGCGTAAGCGACCTTTCATGACCCTTGGAATACGAAGAAATAGGTCTCCCTTTTCCATCTGTCTGCCTATCTGTCCATCTGTCTGTCTGTCCGTCTGTCTGTCTGTCTGCCGTCATGGACTTTTATTAGACAGATAATCTCCGAAAGTACTGGGCCGATTGTTGTCAAATTTTGTATTTGTTAGGTATATCATGTAGGTGGTAAAACGCTAACCAAAATTTGTCTGATCATCCCCACCACTAATGTGATGACGTCACTTATAACCCTCTTTTGGAACACTTCGCAATTTGACGTTTCCGGGATAGGCTACCGTGGCAAAGCATAGCAAAACGCATCCGTGCGTGATGTTCGACTTCCCGCATGCTGTTGAATGCGCCAAGGTCATCAAAAAAGGTTATGAGTGCAAAAAATGTATTTACAGCACATTATCAACGGGAATACATTAAATCGGAACGATGTCACGTAGACATTTGTTTGATTTGAATGAGTTTATTGCCCCGAAAGAGATGACTAAAATTATTCATAAGACTCCATTGAACAAAATATTCTGAATGCTATTATTATAATTCTTATCTTATCATTATTTTATTGTTATAAAGATGAGCGTATTCTCACATTTTTCAGAAAATGGGTTGGCTCGTTCTTAATTTGATCAATGATAAATTGACCGATTCATTAATTTTTTTGAGTCACCCTGTATATGGAAATCCAAAAAATATAAATGGAGTGATAAATCACAAGTACAGACTCATCATATTTTGTACAGTTTAGATAGGATTTATTCAGCAAATTTTCGAGCTGACGTCATCATTTTTTTGGGGGGGATAAGCAAATATATTTTGACTAAACATTTATTATGCTTTTTATAACCTAAAAACATCTGCGAGATTTCAAAGCATTCGGTTTTGTAGTTCCTGAGTAAATCAATAAAATAAATTTACGCATTCATTAATTTTTTTGAGTCACTCTGTATATGGAAATCCAAAAAATATAAATGGAGTGATAAATCACAAGTACAGACTCATCATATTTTGTACAGTTTAGATAGGATTTATTCAGCAAATTTTCGAGCTGACGTCATCAATTTTTTGGGGGGGATAAGCAAATATATTTTGACTAAACATTTATTATGCTTTTTATAACCTTAAAACATCTGCAAGATTTCAAAGCAATCGGTTTTGTAGTTCTTGAGTAAATCAGTAAAATAAATTTACGCATTCATTAATTTTTTTTAGTCACCCTGTATATGTAAATCCAAAAAATATGAATGGAGTGATAAATCACAAGTACAGACTCATCATATTTTGTACAGTTTAGATAGGATTTATTCAGCAAATTTTCGAGCTGACGTCATCAATTTTTTGGGGGGGATAAGCAAATATATTTTGACTAAACATTTATTATGCTTTTTATAACCTTAAAACATCTGCAAGATTTCAAAGCAATCGGTTTTGTAGTTCTTGAGTAAATCAGTAAAATAAATTTACGCATTCATTAATTTTTTTTAGTCACCCTGTATATGTAAATCCAAAAAATATGAATGGAGTGATATATCACAAGCACAAACTCATTATATTTTGTACATTTTACATAAGATTTATTTGGCAAACTTTTGAGCTGACGTCATCAAGTTTTTGGAGGGGATAACCAAATATATTTTGAGTAAAGATTTATGATGCTCTTTATAGCCTTAAAACATCTGCAACATTTCAAAACAGTCGGATTAGCAGATTCAAAATTAAATTGCAAAATGTTGTTTATAATTTTGATTTTTTTTTTCCAAAAATCTGGACGTTTCGGGTAAAAACTGAATTCGGAGTCGTAAACTACATGTTATTTTATACAATTTAAAACCTATTTACTATGTAGAATTTTTAAGTGACGTCATCGTATTAGTGGTGGGGATGATTAGACAAATTTTGGTTAGCGTTTTACCATCTACATGATATTCCTAATATAAGTACAAAATTTCACAACAATCGGTCCAGTACTTTTGGAGATCTGTCTAATAAAAATCCGGGACGGCAGACAGACGGACAGACGGACAGACAGACGGAAATGGGAGACCTATTTCTTCGTCTTCTAGGGGTCATGAAAGATCGAGAAAACGTAAAAGTAGAGAGTCGGCCGACGGACTCGATTACAATACTTCCTTTGCTTACGCTCGGGAAGTAAAAATATAGGGTACGAAAACGAATTTCAATGTCATTTACCTTCTTAGACGATTACTGGTATTACTAATCTATATTTATTTTAATGTATAGAGTTTATCACGTATACAAATTCGCGATATCAATTTTTTTTCGACCATTTTACTTCCCGAGCATAAGCAAAGGAAGTATTGTAATCGAGTCCGTCGGCCGACTCTCTACTTTTACATTTTCTCGATCTTTCATGACCCCTAGAAGACGAAGAAATAGGTCTCCCATTTCCGCCTGTCTGTCCGTCTGTCCGTCTGTCCGTCTGTCTGCCGTCCCGGTTTTTTATTAGACAGATAATCTCCGAAAGTACTGGACCGATTGTTGTGAAATTTTGTACTTATATTAGGAATATCATGTAGATGGTAAAACGATAACCAAAATTTGTCTAATCACCCCACCACTAACGTGATGACGTCACTTCAAAATTGTACATAGTAAATGGGAATTAAATTGTATAAAATAACATAGTCCTACACATGTAGTTTACGACTCCGAATTGAGTTTTTACCCGAAACATCCAGATTTTTGGAAAAAAAATCAAAATTATAAAACAACATTTTGCAATTTAATTTTGAATCTGCTAACCCGAATGTTTTGAAATGTTGCAGATGTTTTAAGGCTCTAAAGAGCATTATAAATCTTTACTCAAAATATATTTGGTTATCCCCTCCAAAAACTTGATGACGTCAGCTCAAAAGTTTGCCGAATAAATCCTATCTTAAATGTACAAAATATGATGCGTCTGTACTTGTGATATATCACTCCATTCATATTTTTTGGATTTGCATATACAGGGTAACTCAAAAAAATTAATGAATGCGCAAAATTTATTTTACTGATTTACTCAGGAACTACCAAACCGAAAGACTTGAAATCTTGAAGATGTTTTAAAATTATCATAAGCATAGTAAATTTTTGATCAAAATGTATTTGGTCGTCCCCCCTAAAAAAATTATGACGTCACCACAAAATTTTGCTGAATAAATCATATCTAAAATGTAGAAAATATGGTGAGTCTCTTCTTGTGATTTATCATTCCATTCAAATTTTTTTCGATTTGCATATATACAGGGTGACTAAAAAAAATTAATGAATGCGTCAATTTATTTTATTGATTTAATCAGGAATTGCAGAACCGAATGCTTTGAAATCTTGGAGATGTTTTAAAGTTATCATAAGCATGGAAAATTTTTTATCAAAATGTATTTGCTCATCCCCCTAAAAAAATTGATGACGTCAGCCTAAAATTTGGTGAATAAATCCTATCTAAAATGTTAAAAATACGATGAGTCTGTACTTGTGATTTATGATTCCATTCATATTTTTTGGATTTGCATATAAAAGGTGACTCAAAAAATTAATGAATGCATGAATTTATTTTATCGGTTTAATCAGGAATTACAAAACCGAATGCTTTGAAATCTTGGAGATGTTTTAAAGTTATTATAAGCATGGTAATTTTTTTATCAAAATGTATTTGCTCTTCCCCCCTAAAAAATTGATGACGTCACCCCAAAATTTTGCTGAATAAATCCTACCTAAAATGTACAAAATAAGAGGTGGCTCAAAAAAATTAATGAATAAGTCAATTTATTTTGTTGATTAAATTAAAGGCAACACTTATTATTAGTATTACATTGGACCAACCCAATTTGGTAGACACAAAATTTTGTAAAGTAAAAACTCGTTTAAAACATAAGCGTAGCACGCTTATTTACATTTACTTTAACATTACAGACGTGCATTTGTTTTGTGCGCTGACTAGGTTCCGCGAATGTGGTATAGACATGTTTAAGGTATAATCAACCAATTGTGAATTCCACCGTCAAAAATTAAAATAAGACCCAATGTTTTATATAATAAGCGGAAGTCGAAGCCATAAAAATCTCTAGACGACCATCGGTTTTGTTTACAGTTTCTCTGTTTGACTCTCACGTATACAGTCTCAGCAAGTGTTACGCTTGTCGTCTTAAATTAAGAATGCTTATAGTAGCCTGCATAGATATTGTAGCCGTCCATAGAGTCGAAATTTGCGAATAAAAATAAAATAAAACCGGTTCAAACGGAGCCGACGATGGCTTGCAAAGTCTGACATCACTCTGGCACACGTTGCACAGAGACGTATTTAATGTTGAATGTCATTTTTTCCGTTATGATATAATCTGTTTAATTTCTGAGCTGAATCTCGTCAATAAAATCGAAGCTCTGTTCACTGTACACAAGTTGTGGTATGGTATATTCATCGTTGCGGAGGCAGGTGGAGCGAAAAACCTGGTCATCTTAGCAGCAAACACGCCTATAAACTAGTCCACGTGGACTGTTTGTTTCCTGTCATATTTTAGTTTGCTTGAACCAATTGTGTTGCACCAAACGGTTATTACACTTGTTGAAATAAATTTTCAAACTTCCATCTTTCTCTAATTCATCGGTTTCGTAGCTGTGTGACAAATCGTTTGTCGTAAATAGAAAATAGTAAGATTACAGTGACCCTAAGATTTTGTGCAAACAGCCTTAAATACACCCCTGTGTGATATGACGCGTGCCGTAGTGACAGAACTTGCAAGCCGTCGTCGGCTCCGTTTGAGCCGGTTTTATTTTATTTTTATTCGCAAATCTCGACTCTATGGACGGCTACAATATCTATGCAGGCTACTATATACATAAACGATTTTCAGTTGCCTCTCCTAGTACACACCGTATACGTGAGTAAATTGTTTCGTTATTGTATTATTACAAATCAATATTTAAAACGACCCAATTCATTTTCCCGAAAATTTGGGAATACAATAATTTTATTCTTAGTATTACACTACATCTATCCCAACTGATATACGTGTCCTTGCAAAAATGTTGGTGACGTCATCGCAATTTTTTTTTAAATTCCCACTACAAAAATGTAATGAGAAAAAAAAACACAATAGGCATGCAGTCGTCAAGTTTCCGTCAGCGAGGGAAGTACTGTCTAAACTCTTTAGACCAATTTTTTTGTTTTATTTTCAAATACTGTTTCGCCGAGTTGTTTTTAATTCCTCCCAAGCGCGAAATTTCAATTTCAAAACCAGAATACCAGAAGTCAACTCCAATTACCTACGTATCTATCATGTGACAAGGATCGATACAATTGTATTTCAAGGATGAAGGACGCTTGTTCTAAATATTCTGGATATATATTTTTAATCTTTCTGAAGATTTTTATATTAGCATCATCATCATATCCTCAATTGCCATCGTAAGGATGAAATTTGGTATGCCGTTTTGTCATCTTTTCAGGAGTAGCCCTAATCGGATCTAATCTAATATGTCAGTAAATGAACGTTCATGCACGTCTGATTGATGAACCTTTGTTCCTTTAGCAAACAAAAGTGAAAGTCACGGCTGTAAATTATCATTACCACAATCCTAAGTGGTTTACAGAAGACTTCAAATGAACACTTTTGGAAACAGAAAGTCAAGGTTTACCAATTCCGGGTCCTTTACTTAGTGGTACATTTGTGGTAGTTTTGTTTTTTTTTTTTTAATTTTCTTGGTAGGATGATTGTAATTTGTACCGCAGTAGACATCATTTCTGCGCTAGCTTTTATAAATTTAAGAGTGAAAAGATCATCAAAACCATATAAATGAAACCATCACTACTATACAATACTACGGTTCGTAATTTCATAAATAAATCATCTTTTAAAATACTCGTGACACCGGCGCCAACAGCATAGGAGTGACTAACACTATTATTGCAGGACCAGACGAACTAAGTAATTGTTGGGTAACTGTGCGTCGGGCGCCAGTAGTCAACGACCTTGTCTTTTAATCCCTCCTCATTCCATATAACCAATGCATTACGTTTGACAACACTGGCTTAGCACTGAAACAGAAATAACTGCCGGTTTGCCCAGCCCACATTGTTTTGTTTCGCGTATGTAGCGTTGTAACATAACCAAGAACTAGTAGTTTTAGTAGTTTTTCAATTAATCGTCCAAATTCCGACATGGCAGATTATTTTCCCTATAAAGGGCTCGGTCTTTTTTTAGTCGTAATATTAGTATTTATTGTTATGCTTATCATAAAATGTTGCATTGGTAGGTACCGCACTACTTTCTGTATGCTTATTTACATTGTTTCAATTAAAGACGGCTCGCGAACAACCAAAGTTAAAAGAAGAAGACACCGTGGAAACAGTTATCAAGATATTTATCGAGATCTGCATGACAGTTTCTCGGCTACGACTCGAACAACTCACACCGCAACGGCCCCGCCTCAGCAGACAAGAGTCACAGACATTTCCAGTAACTTTGAGGATTTAGGGGTTGATGATATTGTTGTAGTACCAGACCCAAATGAAGGTGTGTTGGAACATATTATTCTTCAAAATTTGAAATTTTCATTTGTTTATGCACGTTATCTCGCCAGCACGAAGTGCGTTTATTTTTGGATACGCGGGTACTTTGTTATGATAATTTGAAGGTTAAAGATACAATTAAAAAATAATACATGTTCACCGCTTTGCGACTGACAAAACGCGGTTAGAAAGTGATTAATTGTACTTTGTTTGCATAATATACTGCACAGCGAAAAATTACAGTTGCAGTATTGCAATGACAAAGTTATTCAAGATCAGTCAAATTTTGTCAAGGAAGTTTGAACATGTATAGATTATGCAACACAGAATACAAGATAAAGGTAATTTCAACAAGGTCATAATTTTGTTTTTACAAAATGATCAATTGTAAATGTGACTTAAACACCTTGACTTGAAGTAAAAGCTTCTGCATCACACAACAAAAAACAGTTTTGAATGACATTACAATGTATTCAAACTAGTGCCTTCCAAATGTCATAATTTACAGAAACTATCATCCAAAATAAAGTCTTCATGTTTACTAGAGATTTAATGGAACATCCAAATTGCAGCCACTTTTAAAATACATCAGAAAAAGGGAAAACTGCTTGCTTGGGACACATTAAATCTGCTAAAAAGCATGCTGTTCCAGCAACTCCTTCATACAAACTGAAGGGACAATCTGGAGTTCTTGCTTCATTGACAAACTGGTCTGTTTGCATAAATTTAGCAAAACTGAGGGCCCTGTGGAGATGTTTAGGGTGCTCAGTCAATCTATACAACAACAGGAATGCATAACCATTTCCAGCTACACCATGGCAAATACCAGGACCTTTTTTCAATAATCCTCTGGACCAAATTAAATCACCCATTTTTTCACAAGACTTCAAATATTTACTTTCATTCCACAGTAAATAAGCTTTAGCCATGAGGTAAATCATACCTCCAGCACCATGACACCAGTGAACTAACTCATTATGACTATCAATTTCGTCTCTGGCACAAGGAAAATTCCCTTCTTCATCTTGAAGACTTAGCAAGTAATCTACTGTTGCTTTAACCTCTTGAGCTTGTGTAGGATTTGCTTGTAAGTAGCCTGGGACGCTTATTAATGCTTGAAGAATTGTACACAATCCATGAGCAGCACCAAAATATTCAACTTGATAATATGAGTACATTAGGGGGCATGGACAACAATGTCTTTGAGAATATTTGCGACCAGAGTCTACCATAACGTTGCATAACGTGTAAATTTCATGTAGTGGAAGCTCAGTGTTTGTTTCTTTAGATAACCACAGTGCACCCAACACATAACCTACAAAAAAAAGTATGTTGGTGAGCACCACAAGTTTCATATTTTAATACCGGCTCTTCCAACAAACAACTCATCAGAACCACAATTCAAGAAGTTCGTTTCTTTGCAAATTGGTGCAACGTCGTGGAACATTTTCCTGAATTTATCACTTTGTACCTTATCTCCGGTTGCTTTAAAAGCGGCAGAGGCAACAGCATAAACACCGGAATTTCCTAAGATGAATGAAGGTATGTCTCTCTGACAGCTGCATTTAACTGCATTAAAAGCTGGCGTAAGGTACTCTAGCGATTTTGCTAAAAACTGGTTTTTGTGTTCACCCAGTGGAGGAATTTTGCTCAGGTGGTAGTACATGTACGCGATTCCAGCGGTGCCCAAGTACAGACCATCTTTACCATTCCGGTCAATGGGTTTTACATTGTTCTCTATATCTTTTATTATTTTTCCGACGAATTTTTTGTGAAAGTCTGCAGACATTTGATGGTCAACGTCATGACCTTCGTAGTCTGGCATTACGTTGCGAAAATACCTTCTCGGAGCCATTTTTTTTCTCAGTAAATCGTCGGAAACAACGGTCGAAAGAAATCGCCAGAAATTTCTTAACATTAATTTCGCAAACTTTCCACGGGATGAATTTTCTGACCCGTCACAGTAGACATTTTGTTTGTTTATTTTTGTTTCCGATCAGCTGAATCCCTGACATGTATTGTCGCCAACCTAACAGAAAAAAATCATTTTAAGTGAACCAAATTGATTTGAATATCGGTATTTATTTATTGTTATCTCTATTATACGTAGCTGAAAGTTGATAAGTATAATCATTCGCAGTACACGATAAGTTAAATGGAATTATAGATTAGTGGGATTTAAACTTCGATGGTGTAATTTTTCAAGGTTTTCCGTGCTTCTATTGGTAATCCGCGGGGTTGACAACTTTGACGTTACTCTTGAATTTTCTTGTCAATGTTATTGGCTGCTTATTAGTCGATGTAACGTTGTGTAATTTAGTTTGTGGACCAATTTAGTTTAGAACTTAGAAGTAGGGAAACCCCGGACAGCTCATAAAATGCAGTTTAAACTTTTTAACGAAACGAAGAAAAGTTGTGCAACGTTTGTGTGAACAAAATGTAGATGATTCACTTTTGTCCAGTAGAAGTGTGCCTGTAATTTAGCGCAATTAGTAGTTGTCGAATTGAGTCTACTCGTATACCATGGATGTATTTATTCCCATCGTAATTTTCGTTTTGGTTTTTATATTATTTTCCATTTGTGGATTTTGTTGTAAAAGGAAACGTGAAGGCACAGTTTATGGTTGTAAGTCTTTTATTATATAAAAAAATGAGCGAAAATGCATTAAATCCTTTACAGTAGCCGGTACGAACGTGACTGTATCAGGTCAACCTATTTCAGCCTCTCCGGTCGTGGTGCCCCCATACCCTGTGGAGCCCCGACATCCTACACCTCATGCGGCGCCTCCAGGACCTGGATTTAGCACACATCATCCACCATACCCAACACAAACACCTCATCCTATGCCTGGTAAGCTACCCTCATTTGATAGTTGACATCAGTTCATAACATTAACAAAATTCTATTTTCTTAGCTCCCATCTACTATCCTCCGCCAATGGGTATGTGAAAAATAATTAACATTTGTTTGTTTTGTCTTGGCTTTGTTTGTAGTGCGCTATTTTTGTGTTGTGGTAAACAGTAACAGAGGTTATTATTTCAGGGGCGGCGCCGTATCCACCAGTTGTAGGTTCCTCTCCCTACCCTCCAGTCTCAGGTGCAGCACCGTATCCTCCAGCAGGACCGGCAATGGGTGGTTCAGCTCCATATCCAGACTTTGGTGCTCAGCCACCTTCTTATTCCGAGGCTATCTCCCAACCACCAGTAGTACAACCTCTACCCCCAAAAGAGGGCTACATCAAGCAGGCCCCATATAATCCTAACTATTAGTTATATGTTGTGTGGAAATTTTAAATTGAAGTGTTCTTAATTTCTCTCATTCACTTTGGCACTTCAATTATGTTGGACAAGATTGTTTGATATGATTATATTGTTAGTGGAATATAACAGAAAGTACAATTCTGGTAACGTGAAAAATGGAGATATCTGACTTTGTCATAAGCTTTCGTTTAAGAGTTCTTCAGGGCTCTGAAGATTGTTTGTCATTTTACATGTGATAACAAGTGCTTATGTAGCGATGTTAAGTTCTTTTTTATTTTTTATGAAAATATATTTTCTGTGAAATGAGGATATTATTTAATCCTTGCAAGTGAGTGTAATGATGGAGTTTGTTATAATAAATATATTTTTATTTAATTTGTGATACATCGGTGTTTAACTACTAGTATCCTTTTAGTAGTTTAAAAGGAAGCTTTTTTGTTTGCAAAGATTTCGTTTAACACTGAGCTAATGCATGATGTATGCTAATTATTGCTATTTATAGAAGCTTGAGCATAGTTTATTTAAGCTGGACGGCTTTGTTAACAAACTAATTATGTGTTTTATATTCAGGAAGGTATTTCTTACATTATAAATAATTAACTGCAAAGGTAAAAATGAAGTTAATCTTGTGTTGTTTTCAAAGTAATCGTTTAATTGCTTACGTAATTTAATATAGAAAATTTGACGTGGTGAGTTTGGCAATATCGCAGATAAAATTTCTGAAGAAGCTACGCCGTTGTAAAATTTATATTTATTATATTTACGCAAGTCGATAATATCCTCTAGGTAACAACGTTAGTGTATTTGTTTTTCATGATACGATACTGGATGAAAACGCCGTGGTTTCATTGCCGGAAATGCACAACTAAATTTTAAATTCACGCACGTTGCATTCAAATAATGATCTTTTATTGTCTGCAGCTCTCTTTGTTGGGAGTACCCATTGTGTGCGCTTGAAATCATCATTTTATTAATTATTACAAATAAAAACAATCCGAGCATATCGCAAGTATTCGAGATTGCCAGTGCAGCTCAGCTCCAGGGCGGAAATAATATACTGGAGGTTAAGAGTTCAAAAAGATGGTTTCGCACCGCTGCCGACATAAAGATAAGCCACATTCCGTGCAATATATTCTTCCCTTCCCGCTTAACGCTTTTAGCTCGAATCACACAAAACGAGAAAAGTTCCTGCTGTATGTGTAAGAATTGAACGCAGCTCTAGAAAGGGAATTATTTCCGGAAAATAAAATAGTATTATCACGAAGATAGAGTTTATCGATGTTTGGAGGTCAATCATTGTTGAACTTTTGTGTGCGTAAGACAAGGAACTTGGTTTGGAATTTTAGCAATACTTACAGGACGTACATTTCCGTCATCTTCGCTGTAAACTACACTGCTGATACTGATTTGATAATATAACAATTATTTGTAGATCGAGATAGCTCTGTGTCCAATATTGATAAATATGGAAATCACTAGATTTGAAAGCTTTTTAATGGAATTAAGATTTTTAGTAATGTCCTCCAACAAAAGAGTGTTGTTGTTCATACTTGTTTAATAGCAATTATTATCACTCTTTATTTGTCGAAATTTGTCAAAAAAATTAACGTTCTAATAAAAGGGGTGTATGGAAACAAACGTCCCGCCAACATTGAGACATGAACAAATTTAAAAACCCGCGAAAATTCAAAATTTGGCCTCGAACTGTGATCCCCAACAAAATTGAACCCTACGTTGTGTACCTTTTTTATGGCGAAATACATTCAAAAGCAAAGTGGTGATCGCTGAACCCCAAATTTGTGCCCTTAAATCAAAATGCAAAATATGGAGGACAAACTGTAGCGACAACGTCGCGCCATGGACTTTAAACATTCGCATGTCTGAGGCTTACTTCCATCCCCGCGAAGGACCCTGCCAACTAGACAGCCCGATTCACTAGGACTGAAAATCCGCAGATAAACATTCGCGCGGGAACGGCCCTGAATTTGAATGTGGGGGGCCGTCATTCTACCCCGTCATGCGATCCTGTGCTTTTATTTCGGTTATAAATCTCCAGAATTTGCCGATAGCAAGGTGAGTATTATAGCTACAGGAACGGAAATAAGTAAAATTTAATAATGCTACATTTTGTCAAGAATTTCAAACAACAAATTTACATGATGTTAAATTATGCATTAATTTAAGTTACCTACTGATCAAATCAAAATTAAGTTAATAATTCAAGATGTGAGAAAATAATTCGGATGTAAGAAAATCATATTAATACCGGGTGTCTACCTAATGCGTGAATACCTCCGACTTACTTTCTGATTTCTTAGTAACGATGGTGACTGAAATCTACCTTTTATTTTTTAGGACAATAACCATAACAACCACGGGGCTAGTAGCTGCTAAGATAAGACTGATTTTGCCAAATGACATACCCTCTAAGAAAAGAGAGGGTGGGTGGGCGGGGCTAATACCTGCTAAGATAAGAGTGATTTTGGCAAATGAGATACCTTCTAAGAAAAGAGAGGACTGGTGGGCGGGGCTAGTACTTGCTAAGATAGAACTGATTTTAGCAAATGATGTATCGTCTAAGAAATTTAATTAAATTATTGTAAGAAAAGACACTAGAGGCTCCAAAGCACTTTCAAATTCTTTCCAAACAGGAATACCGAGAACCTCAAGATTCTTTTAAATTTTTCAAAAAAAGAACACAAAGTCCCCCAAAATTGTTTTAAATAATTTACAAAAAAAAATCCCTACGGGCTTCCAAAATAATACGCCATGGGTACTCAAGAGTCTCCCGAATTAAAAAAAAAGACTGCGGCACTCAAGACTTTTTCAAATTCGTAAAATATAAAACACTTAAAAGTTCAAAAGATTTTTTCAAGTTCATCCACCAACAAAACACCAGATTCCTTTAAATTTATGCGAAAATAAAACACCAGGGGACCAAAAATTAACTGCAAACATTTTAAACATAAGGTTTTGACAACTTTGACAATTTTTGATACGTCAATCATTTTTAACTGCTAACTCGATTTCTGCTGATTTGTACCTTCACTTTATACACAGGCAAACATGGTTGTCAAATGGAATTTTATCAAATTATTACAAAAACAACACAACAATATCTTTGTATAGTCTTTGCCATTTCTATTGAAACACCACTTGTTAATCGTAAATTTGGCAACGTTCATATTTAGACAATTTTTTAACTAAAAGCCGTTGTCAATCAACCGAAAGCTGTCACCAATTGCTAAATTTTAAGCAAAATCAACAGGTGGTGTTTCAATAGAAATGGCAAAGACAATAGTTACATTCTAACTGAAATGGTAATTAAACATGGTCATGGGGGAGAGAAATATTAACTAAAAGTTTTATTATCTACTACTTATTTTGATAATGAATGTGTGTTAAACGTAGCAAAAGAACCAAATTTAAAATCATTATAACTCCACCAAAATGTAAGAAGTAATTTTTTTACTATTTTTCGCAGACTCACCAGTTGATTGTTAAGAGCGTAACGGAGAATTAATCCGCCATTTTCCAGACACCCGGTATAATACAAAGTAAGCATAAAATACACCTTACATTTCGCCTCCATGATAATAGGTATTAATTGAACTGATACATAAACTGATGATAATTTTGAAGGCCTTATACATACATATAACTACCACAAATGGACTATTTTAAATTTCTAGTGAGAAGTTATGTGGATAATGTAATAATTACTAGTAAAAACATTGCGAACCTTTAGATATTATTGTTGTAAAAAATTGGTCCAAAATTATTTCGACAGAACTTTTCTCACCTCTGAAATACAATAAAACAAATCTACAAACTTTTTTATATGTTGCCTTCTTTTAAATACACTGCCAGACAAAAAACTTCAGAGACGTGAATTTTTTGTGATTACCTACAACTGGTCGAACTTTTGTAAAACATATTCCAAAAAGCAAATCATTAATGTATTCATACATAGAAAACATAACTCTATTCTAGAACATGTGGAAACACAAAAAAAGTGATAAATACTCAAGTGTCCGGGTTTTTTGTCGGGCAGTATATATTTCTCTACGAAATCATTTTGACCATGTTTTAAGTTCCTTGTTGTAGAAAAAAGATTACGAATATTTAGAAAAAAACAAAAGTCGAAAGATAAGCCCCACCCACCTAGCTCAATTGGGATGATTTTTTTATTCGCCGTGAATCAAGGGGCGGAGCTTAATTGCCAAATCAGTATTTCCCTAAAAAAATTTACCATTTTAGACTTGTTTTCAGTTTCTTGTCATGAAAAGAAAATTACATATACTAAAAAAAAAAGCCAAATATAAGCCTCGCCCATGCATAAAAAATCATCGCAGTTTAGATAGGGTGGGTGGGCAGGGCTTGCATTTGTCCTGTTTTTCTTATTGTACGTAGTTTTCTTTTCACAACCAAAGACTTAAAACTTTATCAAATTAGTAATTTTTCTTTCAACAAATATGGATTTTTGCAATTACGCTCCGCTCCTCGGTCTGACAAGGAATGAAAAACGAATCCGAATTGAGATGAGGGCGGGCGGGCGGGGCTTGTGTTTTGCCTTCTTTTAAAATATATTTCTCTACGAAAATTTACCATTTTGACCGTGTTTTAAGTTTCCTGTTGTTGAAAGAAAATTACGAATATTAAGAAAGAAAGAAAAGTCAAAAGATAAGCCCCGCCCACCCACCCCACCTCAAGTGTGATGATTTTTTTTTAGTCGTCGTGAGCCAGGGGGCGGAGCTTAACTGCAAAATCGGTATTTCCCTACAAAAATTTTCGATTATGTGATTTTTATGAGAACCCTTATAAGTTATTAAAATAAGATATGAAGTAAATGTAACGAAGCGTGCTGGGTGTACGTTCCAAAATTAACAAAATTTTATGATGAGGTGATCAACATTTTTGCAAAGACACATATATAACTTTGGTTAGGTACAGTGCAATACTAATGATAACAGTATTGTATTCCCAAATTTTCGGGAAAACGCACTGAACCGTTCCCGATTTAATCAATAAAATAAACTGACTCATTCATTAATTTTTATGAGTCACCTGTCTAAGAAATTTAAAAACTTTTAATGCAATGAGAAATCACAAGTACCTGTTCGGCAAGATTTTTTGGGAGGGGATAAACTAATAAAATAAGTTTTGCTTAAGTATTTACCATGATTACGATAACCTTAAAATATTTACAAGATTTCGGAGCAATCAGTTTTGCAGTTTCAAAGTTATAATGCAAAATATTGTTATTCAGTTTTGAATTTTTTCCAAAAATTTGAGTGTCTAGGGTGAAAATTCGACACACCACAAATGCAGGAGTATCTTATTTTAAAAAATAAAAAAAAACTTTATCAAAAATTTTGGAAATGACGTCATCCCATTGGTGGTGGGGATGATTAGCGAATAATTTATCATTCCATTCATATTTTTTGGATTTGTATATACAGGGTGACTAAAAAAATTCATGAATGCTTGAATTTATTTTATTCATTTAATCAGGAACCACAAAACCGAATGCTTTGAAATGAATTAATGTTGTCATAAGCATGACAAATTGTTCATCAAATGTATTTGCTCATCCCCCCCTAAAAAATTGATTGTCACCTCAAAATTTTGCTGGATATTAATCCTATCTTAAATGTGCAAAGTATGATGTGTCAATACTTGTGATTTATCACTGCATTAATATTTTTTAGATTCGCTTATACAGGTGTCTCAAAAACATAAATAACTGAGTCAATTTATTTGTAGTGGTCAAAATACGCATTGTAATACACATACGCACAATACTGTATTAGGCTATGAAATTTATATTTAAAATAATGATGTTGGCAACACCAACGCGTTCTTTGTTTAAATTGATAGTGTGGCAGTTATGGTCAAATAAAGTGTGAATCATTATTTTGAAAATAAATTTCATGGCCAACTAGAGGACTTTTTCTTCGATCATATGGTACTTCCTTTAAAAAAAAAAGTTAAAAAACCTACCAACTTTTATTTGCATATGCAGATTAATTTTACTAAAGATTAATTACTTTTGTTGAAAAATATATTGCAAAAGTAAAATGTAGTGCTACAAAAACTATAAATTATTATCACATTCGTTTAATATCTTCGTTACCTGCTTTAATACCTAAATATTTATCCAAGATCAACTGTGAATCCGAAAAATGCGATAATCTCCTGCAAATCTTGACATAAATGATTAATGAATAAATGAATTTATCGCTAAATAACTGACGGTGACTATCCAAATCTAGAATAAAGTCCTTACTTATACTGTATGTTTACAGTATTAAAGATTTGTCTGTTTATCTGCTACTGTTTTAAATGGTATAAACACAAAATATTTGTGTTCTGTACAAGTAAAGTGTCACTCTTGACTCTTGTTATGTATGTATGACAATAGTGATGTAAAATTTTACGCCCATCACTTATTTTTATTTTTTAGTGTTTAATTATTTCCAAACATTTTAATAATTTAGTACAGATATTTCATTAATATTAACTAAAATTGTACATCGATGTCCTTCAATGTTCTGTAAGAAATACATCAGTGATTGCCATGCGATACTATCTATGACGTCACAACTTTGACATAGGCACAAAACTGAAGATTTGGGTACTCATCGTTACTGTTAAATTTAGTTTCTTATTTTTTGGTCAAAATTATTTCGTAATATGCGGCTATATGGTATCTATGTCTGTGTCAGCAATAAAAAAATAGTAAAAACCTAACAAAGAATAAATTCTCATATTAAATATTCCAGCAATAGGCGTTTAAAGTTTCTTTGTTATAAAATGGTCGTAAATGTACTAAAAATTTAAAAACAATAAAAATTAAGACTATACACCTGGGTATTACATTTAATTAGATACGTACCTGAATAATTAGCAATTAGCCACTGGATTAATATATTTATCGATTTTATTACTGACCAGGTACTGAGGTCAATAAACCTCTGAAACAGTTCAATTATTTTCGTAGTAAATTTTACCTTTAAGTCGTCGTTCTAAAAACTACGAATAGATGAAGGTGTTACAAAGTATACAATGTAATGCTTTTAAACGCAGGAAAAGTTAATTACATTTTATCACTTTCACTTCCTCAACGCAAACATAAAGTACAAGAGACCTCGTGCTACAACATCTGAATCATTGAAATTAACATGAATTCACAAGAATTATTAGATTAATTATCGAGATCTAATTTTACGACTGGTTTCAGTGCGGTTGCAGCACGATAAATATGAATGCATGTGAGTCATGCTATGCGAAGGGTAGATAAACTACGCCGTTCTAACGATTCCTAATAAAAAGTTATAAGCTTCATAATTTTAAACACAAACTATCGTGTACACTAGTCCATCCTAGCAGGAAATGAGAAAAGTGAAATTGAAAGAAATAGTTTATTCGATTCCGTATGATTTCCACCGACCATGGTGTTATAAACTGCTAAAGAGCGTCTCAGGCAGTGCCCGGTATATGATTGACCTTCAAGTAAACATGAAATATTTCATTCACATTGAAGAAGCTGCTGTTTTTTCTTTAATTGTGAAAAGTGCATTAAGATGATCTTTTCGCTGACTCCAAGTAATCTTTTTTAGTAATTTTTGGTTTGGCAAAAATCAAAATAAATGTGTCCAGTTCAGTAAGTGAATATAAACCGCTAGATTTATCTGTAAATAACAAATATACATGTGCAGAGATTTTATTACTAGATTAATTTATATAATTTAGTACAATTATTTAAAGCATGAACAGCCTTTTAAAACACTTACCATTCATTATTCAGATTTATCGCTTAATATCTATTACAATCTCACGTTTATAATTTTCTTAGTTTAAAACAGAAATAAATTTTAAAAAACCAGTTATGCAAAACTAGGATTGTACGGTGATTGCTTTTGATATTCGTCGTTCGAAGGAGTTTGTATTAACTTCAGATCTTTAACCAGAACGTAGTCACCTTTGTGTTCGACTCCTGGAGCATTAAAGTCTGCAAATGGAGCGATTTCATTAGAGATTTTTTATAAATATTAATTTACTTACTAAAATTCGGTGGTAATAAATCTAGAGGGACCGCAAATCGATCACCTTGGCTGGAAATTCTGTGATGTCCAAAATTTCTGGTTTGGGAAGCAGATGGCGCTATTAAAGTTTTGAAACCACATTTTAGTCAACCCAGTACTAAATAGCTTATAAGTATTACCCGGATTTCCAGGAGCAGTATTAACGGCGTTATAATTTGTGTGAACTGTGTAAATGGGGGCTGGTGGAACGCTTCTTCGTACGGAAGGATGTTTTCCTATGAATTTCGTAATAGGTCACGATTTATTCGATTAAAGATAATTATACTTACGTCTTCCACATTTTAAACAAGCTAGCAGACACATCGTTAATAATACTACAATGGCAGGTATCAGGGCTGACAATATTATCGTATCAAATTCCATTATTTCGTTACATTTTGATGAATCATGCGATTTGAAAATCTAGTCCACCTGAAAGTGTTATCGTTTTGATATCACACAAACGAAATAATAAATGTTATCTTGTAATCTTTATATTACGTACACAATATTTATATGCTAATCATTACACTTGTTACATTATAGATTTTCGTAAGTTCACGCTATATCAATATGGTGTCGACTACTAATGGGAAGAATCTACTTGGCTGACTATGTTATCAGAGTACATGACAGAAAACACTATTTATTGTGTGATATAAAGAGAGATATCAAAGTGCGCTAAAGTTTGAAACATGCTCCAGTTTTTTGAAGATTATTAAACATGTCTTTCAATGTTTTATTTCCTAAGCCTAAGTTACTTTCATGTTTCTTGATGTTTCATGACCCCTTGGCTACGAAAAATAGGGCTTCCGTTTCCGTCTGTCTGACTGCCGTTTGTGTCAATTTTGATTAGACAAATTGCTAAGTTAATTCTCTAGATTCACGTAGATTTTGAAATTTTGTAGACGCTTTAAGATTTTTTTTCTTGGGAATGTCATGTTTAAATTTTTTAAATTAGTTTTTGACCACTTACTTAATTATTCCGAGCGGATGTGTCAACAGTGGAATACAAAATGTGTCCACAATTTTTGGCTTTCAGGACACTATTACACAAACTTTAGCTTTGTGGTGGTTTTGATGTGGCCAGTATCAGAAGAATGGTGGAAATTCCCGGTTATGTGTCACTTCGTTCTTGCCTTTGGATGATTTTATTGTTCTTGTGTTGGTACATGGGGGATTAGTTTTGAAATACCATGTGATGTCTTGGGTTTTACCAATACACTGTTATATGGGATTAAATCACAGACTTGTTCTGTCGAGAATAAACTCACTTGTTCAGACTTGTACTGATTCACAAATGATGAAATCGTTGATTAACTTCACCTCGTTTTTCTTCATTAAAGATGTCTGAGTTACTGTCATTGACTGTGATCAAACATTTGTTTTATCTTCAATAAATAAATGGCTTTTATATCTTTTATTTGTGTTTAATTTTTGTTGTATATAAAAATTGTCATAATAATTAGTTGCTAGAATACTAGACAAAATTTTGCCATTATATTATTTTTACAAATGTGGATGAATAAAATAAAATTCTGTAGGTTTTTGCTAAAATTAGAGAAAATACACAAACTGAATTGTTTATTTATTAGTGTTGAAACAATAAACGTCACATTTGGTACTAAAATATTACATGGTTTGATGCATTTAAGGAGTAAGTAATTAAATTCATGGCCTACTAGTTTCAGAGTAATATTAACTTCCTTAATTAGCATTATCACAAATTGCTTTTTATATTCTTAATGTGAGAAAATTGGTTACTTTTAGGAATAAAGACAAAGTTTGAAATGTTTTGTATGACTAAATCGACTAAGATTTGGTTCAGTTACAAGTAATTTTGGTTGGAGCTTGCATTACTTGTTATATTAAGAAATTACTACGGAAGACAAACTTTGGCTTTTTTTTTACCAGTGTAATAAAGACAGTGCTTTAGATTATTACAGTTTGAAGTAAGTAAGTTTAAAAATCAAAAATTCTTTAATTCGTTTTTTTATTTTGAATTTTTATTATTTTTTTAAATTTTACTCCCAAAATTTAAAAAATGTTATATTACGCTATATATTTACCTTACCAAATTTACGCAGCATGTGTTATAATGATAAAATAAATCACATGAACTTTTCGTTTTAATCGAATTCAATTTATCTGTAATACACGACTGATAACACTATAGCGACTACCTACATTTCATCAGAAATTGGTCTTAAAATTAAATAATAAACATTAAAAACTAATAGAAAAGAGTAACAAGAGACTGAAGAAGCATTTTGGAACTGTCGAAACCAACTAAAGTTGTACATACCTACTACAGATGGAAATAATATCTATGCTGACGTTACAACACTACATTGTACTTCGTAAAAGAAGTATTAATAAACACAACTACGCAGAAAATAACCGAATTGTGCACTACAAACACACACAGATTAATTTTAAATCAAATTTTCCTACGCCAACTTCACACTTCACTGCGCAAGCCGCAGGTGAATTTTGTGGTCACGTGTGACGGGTTAAACACATCCAAACTCAAGGTTGTTCGTTCGAAACGCTTAAGTAATTACTTAGCGAGGGGGTACTGCTGAGTACTTGAAGTGAAAAGTCATTAATTGACGTCTCATGTCCGTTAATTGCTGCCTTACAACATTTCAGTTTCTAGAAAAAATAAACATGGTTCATTAACGAAAGCATTTAATGAGAAACTAATAAATACAACATAGAAACAGAAGCCAACAATAAAACTGTTAACTTATGCACCCTCTTAACTTTTTTGTAAACAATCAAACGTGATTGATATGTTTGATACGTCAATGATCAGTGATTTTGTAGAGATTCATCGTTCTTTATGCTGATTTGTGTGTATTCTGGTGGAGGATCATATGGTGGTGGTGGTTCACAAGCAACTGAGTAAGGGGGAGGATTTGTAAATGGAAGACTGTTTCTGCGTTCTAGAAGTAAAATAAAATAATCAAACATAATGTGATGCTATTTTGGCTTCATACCAATGATGAGAAAGTCTTCTTCAATAACATATATGTTAGATGGGAGGTTCTGAATTCTTTCATCACTATGTTCGGTTTTCGGCCCCACTGTAACATGTATTAATGTACTAGCGTAAAATAGTAATTTAAACTTACCTTTACGACAGATTTTAGCTATTGTAACGATTGCAAAAATTACACATATCAGTACAACCGGAAAACCCCAATACTCCATTGTAAATGGAAGTGTAAAATATATAGCATGTTTGTAGGAAAGAGTCAATCTGTGTTGTGATTGAGTTATTGTTACGTATTTGTATTAAAACAGTGATAAAGTATCGCCAAGTTGTAATTGTTTATAGTGGGTAGATGTTTTAAGATTTCAGTAATCCGATTATGTGTTATCAATTTTTTTTATTGATGTTTCTCCATACTTAATCGTGGATATGTATCACTTAAAATCTTTAAATGATAAAGCACAGAGTGGGCTTTTCCGCACAAAAAAGATTTTTACCTCGCGAGTGACAATTAAAGAAGTAAAGCTCATTTTAGTTAATGATTGTCAAAAAAAAAACGAATTTAGACAAAGGATTTATAAAATGCAGCATGTCTAAATTTTTTTTCTGCCAAGTGAAAGAAGTTGAATTCGGGGCTACAATTAAGAAAAAGAGAAAAACAGCTGATTACAGCATCCTTTTTCTTTACAAGTGGTTAAATATTAATATATTGCACTTTTACAAGACTATAAATTAAAGAAACAATATATATTTTCACAACATTTAGGTACATAAACAATCTTCTTTGTCTTGACGTCATTGGATAGGCAAACAATCATTTTACTGGAATTTTATAATTTAAATTTTCGTACGTATTACCATTGTCTTATAGACATGTGATAACTTTACGAAAAAGGAACAATTAAGAGATACTATATCGTCAAAGTTTGCTTAAGTAATTACTGTTTCAGTGTATCATATAACAGGTCTATTATTACCTGCTAACGACTTTGTGCTAACACCACGCGGAGTGAAGCCAAAATGCTGTTTGAAGCAGTTCTTTTCGGGCTGTGTGTTGCGTTATTTTTTATACACATTTTGTGTTCTTGTAAATATTACTATGACCAGAACAATCAGAAAGATGGTAAGAGTACGTTAGAAATAATGATCGACTTCAAATGTAGTTCTTTTAAAATCAATTGCTTTTACGTCAGTCCTTTTAAAGATAAGATAAGGATCTTATTGTTTGTAGAACAAACAGAATTTGTTTGTGCGATAATATCTGGTTAAATTCCAAAGACTGTGGCGTCAGTAATTATAAAAAAAAATACTGAATGAAAATATTAACGAAAAAATAAAATTCATGATCATTCAGGCATTCTTAAAACTTTTTTGTGGTGATTTCTTCTAGTTGTTTCAGTGTTTTTTCCTTCTTGTTGTAGATGTTTGTATTGTACTTTGGTGTTAATAAAATACAAGAAATTACAGATTTGGCTTTCGTATTTTATTTTTTAAGTAGAGTTTAAATGCTCTCAGTTATACAGGGTGTTTATGAAATGTCGTATAAAGTGTCAAGTTGGCTTTGGAAAATTTGTCACAACATTTTTAAAAGGAATGTTCCGCTTCCATGAGGTAGGTAGCAATCTATCATACGAGCTGAATTAGTGGTTGTCCACCTATCAGACAGCAAACACTGTCAGTAGTCATCATTCATTACAACGAAGCGGCAAAATTCACGAACTTTCAACGCCAACCTGATGTGTGTACAGTCTTACGTAGTTTGACGAATGTTTAGGTTAGTTTAGTTCTAGAGTTTGCGAACAATTTGTATTCCTCCTCGATAAAATTTTATGTGTGGAAATCAACTTACACCATTTAATAAACTTTTTTTTCAGCATACTGCTTATTCAAACATAGTTATCGGTATAAATTCGTTTGATCTAAAACTGGTCAAGGTCGCTTAATGTTAAAAAAACTGGGTCATTTCTTTTGTTGACTAGTGTTGCAACAAATAGCAAGTTCAGTGTATTATGTGTTGTATATCGCTATCAGTCACTCGTTCACCTTCACGCTAATTATGGTTCGACACCTCAAGATTAAAAAATTTTCCGCCTAAATATGTTTGCTATCACCGTAGTCGTTAAATATGAAAATAAAAAATTTTCTTGCTTTGTTAAACGTAATTGCCATTAATAACGATTAATATTTTAATACGGTAGAAATTATCGCGGATTTGTCTTACCCATTCAATTTTACGACTTCGTCAACAAAGCGTAGTGCTTACCTGCGTTTTAATAACACGTCTTAAGACACCTTTAGGTATTGTTAATGTTATCTTATCGGGTTATTTACAGTTAGTCTCCTGAATAAATATAGTTTTATTAACAATTTAGCTGCTTACATGCAGAAGTTTAGTGCGCACTCAAATTTGAGATGATTTTGGTGGTTTCGAAGAAAAATGGTCGAGCACGAAGATCAAATTGGTTTTCTTATTGTAGTTGTAGTTTTGGTGACGCTAATACTTGGGATTAGGAAATATCTGCAGTTCAAAAAAAAGCTGTTGAAAATGAATATCCAAGAACGTCATGCAGGCAAGTAGTAGACTAATTAAATAGTTTCTTACGCTTTCGAGTAAAATCAAAATCGAAAACGCAAATGATGAGGTCTTATAACAATATCTAAAAATGCAGACTTGTATGAGTAATAAATTTTGACGCTGTTCGTTAATTTATCTTATCTTTATACAACTTTTATTTTCTCGCTTTTAATAAATCGTTTCGTTTTATGTTCTAACGGACAATAGTGTCGTGCCTTTTATTTTAGTAAGTAAACATTTATTTTACTTTAACATCTTTATTGTTCTTCCGTTTTAAAAGAAGAAAGTAAACAAGAAGGTCCAAGTTGTAAAGATAATTTTATGTGGCGCTAAAAATAATAATTTGTTACTGTGACTTGAAAATAGTCTTAATTAAATTCATCTTATAATTAGATTTAATTGTCACGTGTTACGGATGGAATGTAACTACAGTCTGTATGTTGGAGGAAGAAAACATATTCACAACCGTGACGCAGTATTTTAAGCAAAGATTATCCGATAAAAACATTTTTGGTCGTATTGTAGTCAATTGTGTTTATTGAACACCTCTAATTACAATAACTATTAATAAATTAATCCGAACTCACTGCCACTTTTAATCCTGTTTAAAATATTGCTTCTTTGTGGAGAGCTTCCGTTTCTCCAATATTACGGTACTAAAACTTACGTGACTCTACCGATTCCAAAACGATTTCGCCAGTCCTCAGCGTTGAATATTTGATTTTCGTAATAATATGTTTTGATGATCATGACTAGATCTTTTTTATAATATTTTTTGATACGATAATTCTGAACCTGCCTTATCGAAATAGATACAGCATGTGTGGATTAGGTATATTTATCTGTTACTGATAACGTAACACTTAAACAAAAAAAAATTAAATATGGCAGGTCTAGTGTACTAAATATAGAAATACACACCTAAGTTCTCATATTTGCTTCCCCCGACCATAGTTACCTTGTTATGCAGTAAAAGCTCAGTTTAATACAAAATTAGAGTTACGTTTTTACCACCTTCCTACTTTTTAGTGGCAAAGGGAAGCGCTTTTTTTTTTCAACATAATAAAGCCATTTTCTGCACAAAAACAGCCATGATTTAGTATAAAAAGAAATTTTACCTCCCGAGCATAATTTCGTATTTTCTTGACGTTTCATAGCGCCTAAGATATGAAAAAGTAGTCTCAAACTTTTGCAAAATAGTGTACTTCTTTACATTTACTTTGTTTGAAAATTTTATGTAGTGGAGTTTTTGAAAAAAATCAAAACTTTATAAGAAGCTAGCTAAGGAAGTATTACAAGCTGAATGTTTACTTACATGTTTTCTCTACACACGTTTCATGACCCCTAGAGTATGAAAAAATAGGTCCCTCGTCTGTCCGTCGACTGTGTCAATTTTAGTTAGAAAGAATTTGGACTGTGAGACCAAAAACTCAATTTAGACGGTTCCAACCTGGTAAACGATCATGTATTGATTCCGACCGTGGAAGCCTCCGAAATTAGAAAGAAATCTTGGAAACTATCGAACCAATTGTTGTCAAATCTGATATGAATGTTAGGAACATTGTGTAGACCGTAAAACGCTTACCAAAATTTATCTAATTATCTCCACTAATAGTCTGATGACGTCACCTCAAAATTTTGCACAGTAAATTCTATTTAAATTGTATAAAATAACGTGCTCCGATATTTGTACGTACCATCCAAAGTTTATTAATTACACAAAGTTATTTCACAGTTTACATCATTATAATGTATAATCTTTAATTTCGTAGCTACTTCCTTCTGAATGTATTTTCTAAAACGGTTACTTTTTGCGTGCTTTTTTCAGAAAAACGATTTTTGGTACAAAGTAATAAACTGTATTGCCAGGTGTCCTTGTTTCCAGAGAAATTCTATTTCCAAGATGCAATGATACCAACGTACTTGTTGAGTTTAGACAAGCTTAACACAAGTCGGTGATAAACAACTTTGCCTTTGAGACAGTAAAACTTTAAATCCGTTCACTATCTTATCTACTTCTATTCAAATTTTTATTTTAACATCTGCTTTGTCCAACAGTCGTGAAGAATTGATGACAGCGTGAAAATGTTGCTCTTTATTTGCTTCATCGCGTTGTTCTTCTTGCTTATCTTCCTGTTCTTCGGTCATGGCATTAGCGAAAATTTTAGACGAGTAGGAACCCAGGAACATTTTTCTTGTAAGAGCAACGAAAATTTTGTCATTCTTAACAGATCCATTCAACAATCAATACGTCAATATTTGATTTACAATCAATAGACTCAATGCCGTACGTAAGCTTTTAATCATTTCACTTACAACTTTTACAAATATGACCATAAATTTCTCATAATTATCATCTACATGGGTAGATTTTATCTTATCTTAATCCCCACAATTTATGAGTTCGTACTGATCCACACAAACTTGCATGCTAGCAGAAACGGGTGTTTTGTTAAAAGAAAGAATGTTCGGTGAGCCGGTCGCTGTTTCTATAATACTTGTTGTTGGTGTTGTTGTAGTGTTGATTGTGGCAGGAGTGTGCATAGTGGCATGTTTTCGCCAGAAAAGTGTTCAAAATACCGGAGGAACAGATCAACAAACACGCCACCGACGATATATAAACAGAGGTGGACGGATTGTCTTAAGTGAGTTTTGGAATTTTTTGTTCAAGATTAAAAGTCATAAGATAATTCAACAATCACCAAGAAAGCGTTAGATAAAAATGATAAGGTAGCTATTTTTACGTTATGACGTTTTTTACTAACGAAGTCTTAATTATCTTTGTGATGGATTGTTTAGTGAAGTTTTGAACTGTCCACAGAGTTGCATAATGGTTTGGTTGATACTGGCACAAAATAAAGTAACAATTACAATTCCGTTTAGATTTAAGTGTCACTGGTTTAATATATTGTTGACTGGTGTACAGTTTCCACACTAGGGAAAAAATCTGGGTGAAAAATGAGCTAATTTTCAATGATGTTGAAAAAACTTTACTAGGCCAGACAAGCTTTGTAGCAGCAACAAATGTATGAAAGGTCAAATTTATATGCCATTATATACAGCCTGTTATTGAAAGGTACGTACAAAATAAAATCGGCAATTGGTCTCGAAGTTTGGGTGCTAAAAGTTAAAAAAAGTTCAGGTAAAAGTGTTCTTCTGTTAGAGATAAAAATTATTAAAATTTATGTCCAAATTCGTTGTACGCCTCTGATAAAAAGATCATCTTTCGTTTCTATAGCAACATTTAGTCTTGACAAAAGTTTTATTGTTACAATTGCTAGGATTTACTAAAATAAATTAATTTTACCTATTTATCCTTCAGTAGCGTCTAAAAAGATTGGATAAGGGTTAATTTTCCCCTTAAAATTTTGATAAGACAAAATAAGTTTTTCCGACTTCTTAGACTTCGCGAAGAACTGTCCATTTTGTTGTACGTACCTTTCAATAACACCCTGTATATAATTTGAAAGTTACAGCTGCCAAGCCTATCTTAAAATTTGTAGTAGATCAAAAATGTTTACAATCTGGCACTCGTAGGACTTCATTTTTCCACTGGTCCCAAATGAATTAAGTTTGTAGTAGTGTTCATTAAAATCGAGTAATAACCTGAAGAACAAAACAAAATAGGTACATTTTGAAAAATCTCTGAGAATTTTGTTAAAGCAATGGATAACGATTCTTACACTAGACTTCACCTTCTAATATATTCTGTAGAATTGTGTTTAGTTTTGTCAGTATTTTTTACACAAAGGTCACATTATGAATATATTATTTTAATAAGAGGATTTTTCTAAATTACATCAACATTTTGTATGTTTTCAAGGATATATAATTTTTATAAAAATGTGTTTACCTAACTTCCTGTTTTTATGTTTTGATTTCGATTTCGTAATTCTCTAGAGATAGTATTGTAACAAAGTTATTTACATTTGATAACATTTTTACTTCCTGAGCGTGAGCCAATATCGCCCATTGGACGAATGACGACTTTCATATTTTCTTGACATTTCCTGAACTCTGGAGCATGAAACAATAGGCCTACTGTTTTCGTTTGTCTGTCCTTCGTTTGCCGTCTGTCGAAACTACTGGATCGATTGTCAAGTCGCATATGTATTTTAGTCATCGTGTAGATGGTAAAATGCTAACCAAAATTTGATCATCTCCACAAAAAAGTGTCAAATTAAATGTTATAAACACACACTTGTCGTTTATCAATCTGCCTTGATTTTTTACCCCAGAGATCCAGATTTTTGGAGAAAAAAACTGCCAAATCTGATACTCCGAAATCTTGTAAACGTTTTGAGGTTATCGTAAGGATAATAAATCGTTAATCAAAATATATTCGTTTATCCCTTTCAAAACATTCATGACGTCGCCTCAAAATTTTGTCGAATAAATTCTCTCTAAAATGTGTCTGTACCTGTGGTTTATCAGTGCCTTTATATTTTTTAGAATTGTTTATACCGAGTGAAATTTTTCGAAAAGGCTGAATGTGTTGTATTGTACTTCAGTTACGAAGGGCAGCATGATTTTTTCTTTGTTAAGAACCGAATACTTAACCCGACTTAACCCAAATCCATACTTTGCTTTTCTTGAAGGATTTGTGACTTTTAAATATACATTTTTTAAAATTCTTATAACTACTAATCGTAACGTAAGTTTAACATTACATTTTGATTACACGTTCAATTTTCTTTCAATTTTTAACGACTTCCACCACGAGAAATGAACTAAAATTTTAGAAACTCAGATTACGTTCTTGTCGCTTTATCTGGTTTATCTCTTTTTTTTTAAATTAGTAAATCTGATTATTTAACTTTGATGGGGGTAAAATTATCTTTATGTACAGTGTATCTTAGTCCTTCTTTGTTACTCTTACGAAAATTTCAGCTACAAGGCTTTGTTTTGTTGTTTTGTAGACCTTAACATACATTATGTCGGGTGTTGTTGGAATTGGAATTGTTGGTGGCTGTTGTGGTTTGCTGATTTGTTGTTGTGGAATAGCAAAAATTAAAGAATTTTGCTCAAAACACCGAGAACCTGATGCGAATATTGGTCGTAAGTACGATATTTAGGAAATTTCTCTATGATTATTGTCCATCCCATTTTCTTGAAAATTCGAGAATACAGTCTGCACCCATTCAAATTGATATACGAGTCCGTGCTAAAATGTTAATGACGCCATCAAAAATATTTTATATGGAAAAACTCACTAGAAACATATAGCTATATACGATGTTCTTTTACTCTGATACTATTTTATTTTGAAACGATAAAATTGAATGTTCGGAAATGTTGCAAACGTTTTAAGGTGAACCGTTAATCAAAATGTATCCTTCTCAAAACATTAATGACGTCGCCTCAAAATTTTGCCGAATAATTTCTGCGTAAAATGTCCATATGAGACTATACTTGTGGTTTATCGGTGCGTTCATATTTTTTAGAGTTGTTTATACAAGGTGAAATTTTATTTTTCGCAAAAAACTGGTTATACTGTACTTCAGGAACGAGGGTAGCATGACGTCTTTTTTTTCTTGTAAGGAACCAAACATTATAAATGATTTAAATTCTTCCAACAATTAATCGTAACGTTAACAGTACGTTTACACATTCAAGTTTTCTCTCAATTTTTATTGAATGAACTAAAATTGTAGAAATACAGATTTGGATAGATTTTGTGGTTTTATCTGGTTTATCTTCTTTTTTTTTAATTATTAAATTAGATTTACTAAATTAATAGGGTTGATGGGGGTAAAATTATCTTTATGTACGTGTATCTTAGTCCTTCTTTGTTACTACTTAGTCTTAAGAAAATTTTAGTTACAAGGCTCTGTTTTATTGTTTTTATAGACATACGTAATGTCCATAATGTCCAGTGTTGGATTGACTGTTGGAATTGCAAGCGTTGCTGCCTGTTGTGGTTGGGCGGTTTGTTTTTTTGGAATATTGAAAATACAAAAACTTTGCTCAAAGTCTCGAGAACGTGATGCTAGTATTGGTAGTAAGTACGATATTGAAGAAATTTTTTTGTGAAAAAAAGAAATAATATATCTGAACAACAATAAAATTGTACAATATAATTTGTAGTTGAGCGTTTAGCATGTCGGTGATTAAACCACACTTACGGTTTAATTCCAAGGATAACTCGATTACACAAATTATATTGTTCGATAGTAATCCTACATCCGGTGATGGCAACATAGATAATCGGTTGTATCGATATTACTAATGATACGAGGGAGTATTCATAAATAGCCGACCTCGTGTTTTGGGGAGATTTGACGCTGATTTATGGTTTAGCTATTTGTACAGCAAATTTAATAAATATAATTAAAGACGAACAAGTTCATTCAACAATCACCAAGGAAGCTTTAGATAATGTAGCTATTTTTGTGCTATAACAATGTTTGGTGATTTATTATGTCAAAAATAAATTTAGTGGGATATAAGGGATTTCGGTTATGACTCACTTAGGTTACAAAGTTTTGCGCAATTTAATCGAACCAATCAATTTAATTAAATTAAAAAGAATTTCCCATGTTAAACATGTTGTTTTTAATGCAAACAGTGGAAAGAATAAAAGCAAAACAATGATAAAGTGGGAAACTAAATGTAAGTGTTCTGTGGGTTTCATTTCCGCTGATCTTATCAAATCATACATCTACATATTTTCGTTTTCTTCATTGTGAAAAAATCTCTAAAAAAGAAATATCATGGCCGTGTTCTAATCAAAAACTATTAATCCAAAAATAGGAGTAAGTTGCATTTGTTAGATTGATAGCCTGGTATAGTGCTGCAAATGCTGGTTCGTTTTTATGACTGCATCCTATTGTGAAGGAGTTAAGTGTTCCACAATAGGCCTGTGCCGCAAGTAATCCAGCGGTCATAAACCATCAAGGGACCAACTGTCTGCACTACACAGGGTCGTATGCGTCCGTAAACCTTTAAGATGATTTATGGCACGGCTATTTACATATTCAATAGACTTTATAATACTTGCGGTAATTGAGAGTTGGACCACTATACTAGCTTAACAGATAACATTGATCACTGCTTTCTTATTTGTAGATATACAGGGTGTTATTGAAAGGTACATACAACAAAATTGACAGTTCTTCGCGAAGTCTAAGAAGCCTGAAATACTTATTTTGTGTTATCAAAATTATAAGGGGAAAATTAATCCCTATCCAACCTTTTTAGACGCCACTGAAGGATAAATAGGTAAAATTAATTTATTTTAGTAAATCCTAACAACTGTAACAATAATAAAAAAATAAGAGACCCTTTTGTTGCTACAGAAACGAGAGATTACCTTTTTATCAGAGGCGTACAACGAATTTGGACATAAATTTTAATAATTTTTGTCTCTAAAAGGAGAACACTTTTACCTGACCTGTTTTTAATTTTAGCACCCATACTTCGAGACCAATTGCCGATTTTATTTTGTACGTATCTTTCAATTACACGCTGTATGCTAGAAATTTCCGTTTAATATTTAATTAATTTAATTAATAAATTAATGAGGTTATATATTATTGTCAATCACTGACATGTGATGAAGATTCTGGTCCTGTGAATAGTAATATTATTAGTACTAATGGAACGGAAAGACTACAAAGTAATTAGTGTTCTAATTTTAACAACA